TTTAGGTTCGTCATCGCTTTCCTCCCAAGGAGCAGGCGTCTTTTAATTTCATGGCTGCTGTCACAGTCTGCGGTGATCTGGGATCCCCACTACACCCTCAAAGCCTTCCGTCCCCACATTTAGCTTGGCCCCAAACGTCTTGGATCCCTCCTCGGACGACCTCTCAGTTCCACCTGCTCCAGCTGGTAGCAAGATGTGGAGCGACCGGGACTCGGTCGAGAGCCAGGAAGTCCCTGGTCTGAGCCTCACCTCCCGCTTCAAGTAGATGGTAACAGCCAAGAAGTACTTCAAAAAGAGACCCCACTAAAGAAAAACTGTATCCTGACTGCGCTCAATTACTGTTTAAATACTGAAGCGAACAGAATACAAAAATTATTCATGAAGTACAAAATACATAAGATAAGTACAATTATTGTTGTTGGTTGTTAATGATGATCTCCGGAATGTTCAACCGTTTCGAGAGATATCTTATGTGACGTCTCCAGTCAGTTTTTCAACTGGTTGTTGTTGTTCAGTCGCACAGTTGAGTCCGACTCTTCGCGACCCCATGGACCAGATAAAGGGGCGGTGGCACAGGCAGTTAAATGCCTGTAGAAATAGTCATCTCGAACAGCTGTAACAGCGGTTCGATTACCACCGTGGTCGGGGTGAGCTCCCGACCCTTGCCCCAGCTCCTGCCAACCCAGTAGTCCGAAAGCCCCTCAGGGCAATTAGGTAAATGGGTACCTGTCCGTAGGAGGACAGGGGGTACCCCTCCCTCGAAATTGGGCTCCAGCCGAGCGAGGAATCGAGAAGCGGCGGCGACATGGCATCGGTCAGCACGGAGGAAATTAAGAGAGGCAGCAACATCACAAGGAGGTGGTTGGCTCGGCAGCTGATGACGTGGCCAGCAGGAGGACGGCCGGAGCCGCAAGGACGTTGTGACGCCCACCGCGGCTGCGCACCAGGGCCCGTAACCAACAGCCCCCGAGAGGAGTCGACAGAGAGTCAAAAGAACAGCGGAGGCCGCGGAAGATGCACCGGAGAAAAACTGGAAGGAGTCGCCCACTCGCCGGATAAACGAACGATCGGAGCCGGGAGGGTACCTGGTAGGGATCCCCCCACTCCAGACGTACTGTGGCCATAGTTAGGGTTTCTGCATAGGTCTCTGCACCATGCACCGTGTAAGCCGCTCAGAGCCCTTCGGGGGTGAGCGGGGTACAAATGGAAAGTATAAATAAATAATTAAATAAATATCATGCCAGGCCTTCCGGTCTTCCGTCGTCCTCTGAAGTTGGCTCAACTTCATGTTCGTTGCATCTATGACACTGTCTAACTATCTCATCCTTTGCCGTCCCCGACTTCTTTGACCTTCAATCTTTCCCAGCATCAGGGTCTTCTCCACTGAGTGCTCCCTTCTCATTTGGTGGCCAAAGTACGTATTTGAGCTTCAGTTTCAACTGGTACATTCCAAGAAATTCATTATTTTCTCAGATATGTCAAAACATTACTGAGAGGAAGTTCCTGATGATTCTACACAGGGCTAAGAGCCAGGAAGTCCCTGGTCTGAACCTCACCTCCCCCATAAGCTCTCAAGGGGGCCTCCCACACGCATGCATGACCTGCATCCCATGGGGAGGGGTTAACTTTGACCTACTTGCCAGAGCCGGGGTAAGAATCACTGAGACAATGCGTGCACTTTGAAATCTCAAATAAATATAATTCATGACAGTGTTTACCGCGTAACTACCAACAATAATAACTAATCACTCTCCTCTTTCAGCGTATCAGTGCCTTCCACCTGAAGGGTGGCCTCCTCGGCCTCCCCCCAATTACTAGTTTTAGTTTACCAGTTTAAGCCAGCAAGACCCCCCCCCCCAAACTCCATGAACAGGAAAGCAAAGAAGAGTCACAGCATCATAGAATCCTAGAGTTGGAAGGGACTCCCAGGGTCATCTAGTCCAACCCCCTCCACCATGCAGGAAATTCACAAAAACCTCCCCCCAAGTCAGATGTAGTCCAGGGGAGAAAGCACTTTGCATCTGCTCAGGGGTTCTCTCCTCTTTATGCCCCTAAAGAGTAAGAAGGGAACAGCACGCTCTGTGTTTATGAAGCAGAGAGAAGAAGGGGGAGGGGAGGAGGAGACGCTCTCCCTGATTCTCTGTGCCTCGGGGAACAGAGCGAGGTGCAAAATCCCAGTGTGCCCACCGTTCAGCAAAGAAGCGCAACACCCTGGGCTGATGTTGGGGTGGAGACTAAGATAAGAAAGTGTGTGCGTAACTGAACTGTATAAAGCTTTTGTTCTTTCTGTGTCCGGGGGCCCAGCCCTTTTTGAGCACTCCTCGCAGCTAAGCCTGACGTCAATAAAGCACTTTTCCTTTCTCACCTGTTGTGTGGACGTTTCTCTGTGCCTTCCTAAATCCTGTCTCCTGCTACATTTATTTACTTGTATTTAAAATGTTCCTACCCTGCCTCTCCATACAAAGAGCCAGGAGGTAACTTGCAGCAAACATAAGGACATAAGAGAAGCCACGCTAGATCAGGCCAATGGCCCAGCCAGTCCGTGTCACAGAATGGTCAAAACCCAGAAGGTCTATCAGTGGGGCCACAACTCCAGAAGCCCTCCCACTGTTGCTCTCCAAGCACCAAGAATACAGTGCATCACTTGCCCCAGACCGAGAGTTCCTATCTATACGTTGTGGCTAACAGCCACTGATGGACCTCTGCTCCATATGTTCATCTAATCCCTGCTTGAAGCTGTCAATGCTTGTAGCCGCCACGACTTCCTGCGGCAGTGAATGCCACGTGTTAATTACCCTTGGGGTAAGAAGTACTTCCTTTTATCTGCTCTAAGCCTACTGCTCATTAACATCCATAAAATCAATAAAATAAAAATGGCAACAAAAAGCAATACAGGAGAAAGTCAGATAAACAGCATCAGACCAGAAAATGGGGGAAAGATCTCAAAAAACCCTAAAGATCACAGTGTAAAAAATGGGGGAGAAACGTTTTAAGTGGTGACAGCATAAAACTCAAAGCAGCTGATAAAACTCCAAAGGGAATATTTAAACCAGTGGTTCTCCACCTCGAATCCAGTATCAGCCACCAAGTGCACAGTCTCAAACACACCCCAAAGCAGAAAGAACCCAGAACATAAAACAGCACTCCAAACAAGGCAACTTGATTTATATACCTATAGGTATGACATATGCATACAATAGAGTGACCTTAGGCATGCATTGAGTGAGACTCTTGTACTTGATGGCCATCAGCAAGCTCCTTAATGTTTGAACCGATTCCTGTTTCGCTGCGTGTTAATTTAAGGCCCTGGGCTGAGAAATCCAGGCATGTATCTGAAGGGTGGGGTACACACTATAAAACAACAGTCTTCCACCAGCAGACAGAAGCTAGTGCAAATGGGAAGGACAACCTAATTTATTTATTTTTAAACCCTCAGATTGCTCAGATTTGTAGATTGCTTCCTGGAGGACATACATCCCCTTTAAGAATCACTGGTCTAAACTAAGACATATAAAATCTTGGCCTGGAGCCTCGGTACCACTACTGAGAAGGCCACATCTCTGGAGTTCACCCATTTCGCCTCTACCAGGGGCTAGTAGACGCACACAGGCAAGGGCCTCCAAGGATGATCTCAGTTGGCAGGTGGGGCCATACAGCAGAAGGTAATTTACCCTTTAGGTACTCTGGTTCCAGGTCATGAGAGCTTTATAGGTAACGACCAGCACTGTGAATCGTGCCCCGAAGTAAACCGACAGCCAGTGGAGAAATGCTGTCACCCCAACTTACGTCAGCCAGCAACCTAGCCCTTGCACTTTGGAGCTGGTTGAAGCATCCGGACAGTCTTCAAATGCAGCCCCACATACAGCACATTGCTGTAGTCCAACTAAGATTCAATCAGAACATAGATAAATGTGACTAACATGTTTCTCAAGAAAGGGACTCAGCTGCCAAAGGACTACGTGATTCTAGGCGATATCTGCACCTTCATCTGTAGCCTGGTATCTAAAAACACCCTCGAGCTGTATATCTGAGCCAGAGAAGGAGAAGAAGAAATTGGATTTATACCCCACCCTTCAATCATGAGTCTCAGAGCAGCTTACAATCTCCTTCTCTTCCCCTCCCCACAACAAATACCCTATGAGGTAGGTGGGGCTGAGAGAGCTCTTTCAAGAACTGCTCTTGTGAGAACAGCTCTGCAAGAACTGTGACTGACCCAAGGTCACCCAGCAGCTGCATGTGGAGGACTGGTGAATCAAAGCTGGTTCTCCCAGATTAGAGCCCATGCTCTTAACCACTACACCAAACTGGGAATGGAAGGCCTTCCAGAGGAGGCCACAAATCAATATCTGGCGTTTTCATCTAACAGCAGCAACTGGATTGAACGTTGGTTTATCAGCCTTCATTAATCCAGCGCCATTATACCACCCCCAGACAAAGTATTCCATGTGGCTCAATTGAATAGGAGAAAGAGGGTTGGGTGTCATCCCCATATTGATGACACACCAGTCCAAACCTCCAGCAGTTTCATGTAGGTGTTTGGCAGCATCGAAAGCAGAACAGAGCCCCACATTTTTAATAACATGGGGCTGAATACCCAGAACCATCCTCTGAAACCAGACAGGCACGGAAACACTGGCGTGCAAGACCCTCTATTCCTAACTTCTCTGAACCACTCTACTAAGATACTGGGGTAGAACCTACCAAAGGATATGAGTCCTTTTCTCCCACCTTAAGGACTGGTGAAAGCAAAAGCACTCTGTGTGTGCTCAGAGGCATTCACCCATCACCCAACTTAAGGGAAGGAGTCAGGGAAAGCACTCTGCAAGTGCTCAGAGACACGTCCCTTCCCAATAGGCGCTTCCAGGGCTGAAACCTGCTCACTGCAGTAGCACCCGACCAGCTCCCCTTTATTCACCAAGAACCCCCCCTCCCCGCACCAGCACAGGCCCTCCCCCTCTTCAAGCCCCACCCCATGATGTCACTTCCCCTCCCCGGGGTACCTGCACGCGCTGGAAGCCGACCTGCAGCTCCTCCCAGTCGCGCAGGCACTCGCTGAAAGAAGGCCGGCGGCTCATGGTTGACAGCGGCAACCCCGTCGACGTCGTTTGGCACGATGTCGGTCCCACCAGCGGCGGAGCTCCTCGTCAGTCACTCCCTCCCTCGGAGGGGAGGGAAGAGGCGGTGCTTCCGGCAGACGTTTCGGCCAATCCGCTGAGGAGACGGCGGACGAGCCCAAAGGCGCGGCGGCCGACGAGCGCGGTCGCCTGGCGGTTCGCCGGAGGGCAGGGGCGGGTCGTATCCAAGGGCGACCGATACTAGGAGGGCGGTGCTTAATTGGTGCGGGGTGGGGCTTACAGAGGTATTTCGATGAGGTTGAGTTGGAGGACTGAATGGCGTGTGTATGTGTGCATAGACAGAAGGGGATGTGTGCGTGTTATGCGCGCGCACTCACACAGGCTGATACCAATAAAAACAGTTCAGTTGATTAATGGTATTAGATGATTAATTGATGTATTAATTAGTCTTCATAATTTAATCAGTGTGTGTATGTGTGTGTGTCCTTTATCACGGTTTTTTTTAAATGCTAGCCTATACGTTTGTTTTTAATTAAGTAATTTTTTAAAAAAATACAAGATTATTTAAGATAATAACAAATTAAATGCTGAAACTTATACAATACTGCAAAATGTTATTAGTAATATAACACGCTTTATCCTTAACCTTTTCTTTATTCTGTATCTCTTTGAAAATCAATAAAAATCTTATATTTTTTTAAAAAATACAAGATTATATGGCCCTGACCTGGATAGCCCAGCCAAGTTAGATCTCGGAAGCTAAGCAGTCGACTCTGGCAAGTTCTTGGATGGGAGACTTCCTTGGAATACCAGCAGTCCGGAGGACAGAGGCAGGCTTTATTCAGCCACCTCTCTGAATATCCTGCAGGCCCCCAGTAGGGGTCAGTCACCAGAGGTTGCCATGACTTCCAGGTGTGTGCACGGATGCGCGCACCAACACACACACGAAAAATACAAAAAAAATTTAAAAGTTTATATGGTCATTTCTTATTTGGGAATGTGAGATAATAGTTTCTCCCGAAGGCCACTGGGCTGTTTGGAGGATAGAAATCTGTTTAATCAATCCCTGATTAGATAAACAATCTGAATACAAGGGTTCGGAAAGACAAAAAGAACCCCACAAAAGGCTTTTGTTTTTTGAGATGATGTATCCACGTCGCTCAAGTGGTTAAGATGCTGAACTGCAGGCTGTGGAAGGTCAGTAGTTCAGCAGTTCGAGACCCGAGTTCCCGCATGACGGAGTGAGCTCCCGTCTCTAGTTCCAGCTCCTGCCAACCTAGCAGTTCGAAAGCAAGAAATTGCAAGTAGATAAATAGGTACCACTTCAGTGGGAAGGTAACAGCGTTCCGTGCACCTTGGTGTTTAGTCATGCCGGCCACATGACCACGGAAACATCTTCGGACAGCGCTGGCTCTTCGGCTTTGAAACGGAGATGAGCACCGCAACCCTAGAGTCGGACTCGACTGGCTTTCGAGCAAGGGAAACCTTTACCTTTTTCCACGTCGCCCTCTCCTCTTCACCCTTTGGACAGCTGGGAATAGTTCTACAGGAAAAATTCCCAAACTTAAAAACTTCCATATCTTTAAGGGGGAAGATGAGGAATCATTTGCAAGAGATTTTAATGTAGATTACTATCACCTTTCAGATTTACTAATCTATCCAGGGCCTGCCTCATTTTGTTCCTCCTCAGAATCTGTTAATTAAAGGTACGGTGCCTCTCAAAATGGAGTTTCTATGGCTAACCACCGCTGAGACTGTCTCCCCTTTTATAAAATCAGATAAGGAGGAACCACAGTGTAGATAAACAGAAAAGAAGGCAGAGCCACAGCAAAGACTGTGAATATGTTGAGAATGATTATTGAAATACTTTCAAAAATATACAATAACAAAATGACTGAAAAACGACAAATGATGCAGATGACAGATAGGAATCCAGATGTAGTCCTGTTTCAAGGGGTTCTCCTTCAGTATACAGACACTAAGTAGATAAGTATGTTGTCTTGATTGCTTGTGAGTATATTCACTGTCTTCTATACAGCCAGGAGTCAACAACAACAGAGAAACTTCTTTCAAATATATTCAGACTTCTAAGAAAAGAATCCATTGTCCTCTGCTTGAAGGTTTCTAACAGTAGATGACCCTCCTCTTATAAAGTCATCCCAGCTAAAGGCAAAGGCCTTGAAATCCATCAGAACCATTTCTTATCAGAAATGCTGTTCTCTGTTAAGGAGGCGGTGTTGTGGGCCTATCTATTCCTTAATCAGATATCTCAGTAACCTCTATTAGCATATAGCACACTTCAACTGATAAGGTACTTGACTGCCCTGTGAGTGTGTTACTAAGAAACAAACCTCTCTCTGTTACTCTTAGCCCTAACTGTTTCAGAACTAATATGGAATAATGTTTTGCAATGTTATCATAGCTGCAGCCTAAATATCATATCAACCTTGAAAAGTGCTTGTTTATGTTTTTAGCCAACCTTTCTTCCATAGAGTTCAGGGCAGCAAACGCAGTTCTCTCCCTCCTGTTTTATTGACACAACAACCCTGTGAAGTAGGTCAGACCAAGAGAGTGACTGTCCCAAGGCCCAAGCTTTATCGCAGAAGGGAGATTTGAACCCAGGTCTCCTTAGTATGACATTTTAACTACTGCACTACATTGGCTGAGTGCCACAAGCTCACCCACTCTTCCATCCCTTTAAAGCTTTAAAACACAAGCTTTCTCATCGTGCTTGCTCAGAGTTGTCCATTCTCTCAAAACAACACAATTTATTCGATATTTTCAACTTCTGGCGCAATTGATTTATTGTTTTGATCCTGCTTTTCCAGTAAAATACATCTCCACATCAGTTAAAATTCAATACAGAAGGCTGCACAGAAATGATACAGGCCCTTATCCTCAGGCTAACTAAAAGGCAAGATGCAACAGGAAAAGAAATAGCAGGAGATCAGTGTGAGCAGTTGGGGGCCAACCAGTTCGTTCCCTTACTGGAAGTGAAAAGGGGTGCAGCTACCCAGCAGCCCTTGATCCTCTGGTCAGTGGCAGGGACCACAGCCCCCTCCCCTCTGCTACTGAGATCAAGATAAAATCTCATAGGCTGAATTCAAACTTCATTTTTCATTAAAGTTAGGGACTTCCATCAATGGGGAGGAACTTTTCTGCTTCCCTTCTTCCACATGAGCTCCCTGAAATGGTTCAATGTCCCCCCAGGAACAAGATTTTAAGAAGATTGGGTGGCATCCCCCCCCCCAAACGTAATTGACAGAAGTGCCTTCCTACCAATGGAAAAATTTAGTCGGGATCCAAACTCATCTATGTATTCCTCACTGAAACTCACAGAAGGCCTTAATACTGCCTCCAGTGCAGGTAATAAACACTTCAGGACAAAAGGTATGTAAAGAGATTTAAAAAAAGAAAAGAAGAGCTTCCTGAAAGCAACCCCCCCCCAAAAAAAAGACCATTGCCCCTACAATCAACATTCCAGAACCCTTATTTGCCAGCTGCCTTTGGTCAGTAAAAAGGTTCAGAGACATCAGTGATTGTTGCCACGTAGATCCGGCGTTCCCACTCTGATAGCTGTTGCACAAAACCCCGGTTTGGCCGCATGTTCGTTTTGCACTTCTGGACATAGCTCCAAGCGTTCTACAAAGACAGTCCGAGAGCTTGGGTTGGTCATGAGGAACTACATAACAGTTTCTCCATCAACCTCTGCACAGGGGTAGGCTTAGCTCATGATCTCAAAGAATGAACTTGGCCAGCCTTCTAGACTATAACAGTGAAGGTGGGTCATGAAGATCTATCTAAGGGCAAAACTAGATGTTATGGTGTGGACGGCAATGCTGTTTAAACACTGGCACTTGAAAAGGCACAGGAGGTGGGAAACAAAATATCATAAGGTCCCTCGTGGCATTTTTAAATGGCCGAGTTCAGCTCTAAAATGCCACTGTAACGCCTAGTCTGGCCCTACTATCTGCTGGATGTTCAGTGCCATCCTACATCTGTACAGGGCTATTTTTGGGCAGGAACGCACCAGAACGGAGTTCCGGCTGGCTTCTGAGTAGGCCACGCCTACAGCCAAAACCTCTGAACATGCCTGGGTTCCCTGCCCAATCTTCTCTAGGTGACCCACAGCCGCAGGGCACCTGGAGAATATTGGGCAGGGAATGCAAGCATGTCTGCCTACCTGCCTGCCCTCCCCTTCTCCAGCCAGCCTGCCCGCCTCCACGGGTTGGCTGGAGAGGAGAAGGGGAGGCGGGCAGACATACCCCCTTTTCCCCTAAGCCTCTCCGCTTTTGCAGAGAAACTCAGGAAAGGGGGGGGGATTTAAATGCCTTTCTTTCCCTTCCCCAGGGAAGGGGGTGTGGCCTAATATGCTAATGAGTTTCTCCTGTTGGATGTGGCCTATTATGCTAATGAGTTCCTGCTGGGCTTTTTCTACAAAAAAAGCCTTGCATCTGCATATTCAGAACTAAGTCCGCTGTATTCAAGGGCATCTATGTCCCAAGAAAGCGTGAATAGGATTGCAGCCTTGGACAGAAAATTCTGCTTAAGACACATTGCACATTTCCTCAGAAGGGAGTGACAAGTAAGAATGCAATACTGGCCACACTGGTTCGTACTATTTGTTTCAGTGGCTCAGAGAAGAATTGAAAAGTCGGCCTGAGACAGCTCCCCCTCCCCAATTACAGGCCAGGGGGTAGGCAGGGAAAGAAACTAAACTTCAGTTGGTTTAATCCAGCAAGTGATAGCAGGTCCCAGGCTCCGCTTCTCAGGATCTGGGAGATTGTAGGTTGATACAAGAGAGGCAAAGTTCGACTATGGTTGCTTCCACATGGGGACAGCTTCCCGTTCAGCTCTTGCATTCACAATGGCAACAGAACTTCCAGACACTGGGGTATTCCTTGACGTATCCCCCCAATGCCTCCCATTTGCCTCCCCCCACTAGTAGGCTTTTCGCCAGCTGTTACTTTTTAAATGGATAGTTATATCGCTATCTCTCCTTATATATAACTAGCAGTAAAGCCCGTTGTGAAAGCAATACAACGAGATCTAGAAAGAGGCTCTGGGGCAGTGCTCTGGCTTTGGGCAAACAGTGTCAATTTGCTGTGGTGACCTCAGCAGGGTATAATGACAGAGTCCACTGTTTTCTCCAGAGGAACTGATCTCTGCTACCTGAAGAGCAGTTGTAATTGTGAGTAATCTGTAGCCCTCACCTGGAGATTGGCAGCAATTGTTACCCAGGACAAAATGGCTGGTTTGGAGGGTGGAGTCTATGGCATTCTACCTGTCTGAGGTCCCACCCCTCTGCAAACCCCACCCTCTCCAGGCTCCACCCCTCAAATCCCCAGGAATTTGTCAGCATGTAGTTGGCAACCCCATCTCCTTCCCAGCTAGCCACCAACCTACCATTATCTGCCCCTTTGACTTCAGCTGACTTCTGCCCCCCCCCGCAAGGCAGTTGGAATGTCAGTTGCATATGGAACCTGCTGTATTCTGGTGGTGTGCAGGTCCCAGGTTCATGTTTTAAAAGCAGACTGACACTGTTTGCCCAAAGCCAGAGCACTCTCCCAGAGCCTCTTTCTAGCTCTCGTTGTATTTATTTCCACAACGGGCCTTATTTCTAGTAATGTAATGATGCTATAGTGATCCAGCTACTACCAGTTAAAAAAATAGACAGTAAAAAGCATGTAGGCTGTGGAAGGGAGAAACAGCATCGAATGTGAGCAGGGAAGGGTGGGAATCTGTACCTTCCTGTCCACACTTTTCCCAAATCCACTTTGGGTCTAATTTTTTTCAGGAAAGATCATATCAAAGTAGATTGGGGGGAAACACACAACAGAGTTGGGGGAAACCTGTAAGGACGGCGACTGCACAACAAATGTTAGACTGAAGTCCTGCCCCCAACCCCCCCCCCCCCAGGGGTTTGGGGGGGGGGGGGGGGACTACAGAGCAAGACCTCCACATGGAGGAAATCTATACCTCCAAGCAAGCCAGAGCCATGTCCCTGAAGGTGAGAACAAGACTAACTTTTTTTTTTTTTGCATGTCTTCGTTAACCAGTTACTTGGGTAGCCAATTTCACTTATCTCTTAAGTACCTGGTGGTGGACATTGTGCCCCATTCTGAGAGTGACCCACAATGACCAGTCCATAGGCTTTTCCAGCAGTTGGGTTACCAAATCCCAGCTTTCACAGTTATGTGGAAGTACCCTAACAATCTGGACACTCAAGCCAGGCAGCATAACCCAAGTATTGATCCATCCCGTTTGGTGTGCTACTGACTAGTCATACAGTGAATTGTGTTCGATTCAGGTGGGGTAGCCGTGCTGGTCTGAAACAGAGCAAAGTTTGAGTCAAGGGGCACCTTTAAGACCAACAATGTGTGCATGAACACTTCTTTATATACATTGAAACAGACTTCCTCAAGCCTTACATAAATGTAGACCAAGGGTGAGGGGAGGGTTGGCTGCCAGGAAGGGCTAGTGAGAGTCAAGATGCACAAGTAACTGAGCAACAAAGATATGCATCTTGGCTCTAACTAGCTCTTCCTGGCAACTAACCCCTCCGCACCTCTATATGTAAGGTCTGAGGAAGTCTGTTTCAGTGTAGCTGAAGTGTGTCTGTACACAAAAGCTTATGCCCAGAATTAAACTTTGCTGATCTTAAAGGTGCCACTGGACTCAAAGTTTGTTCCAATGAATTGTGTTGTCATGTTCTTCGCTGTTTATTGTAAATGGATCTGGATTTTTGGCATCGCCTTGAATGCCTGATAGTGGTTGGAGAGAAGCTATAAAACTGAAAAAGGTTGTCTTTTTCCCCATTCCCCTGTAGATGCACCTACTTTTAAGTAAAGGCTGCATGAGTGGATGAGGTAGGCCATCACCGCAGTGCTGCACCTGCTTATCCCCAAGACGGAGAAAACCAGGACTCCTCCATGAGGTACATGACGATCTGGAGGAAGAAAAAAAAGAAAAACTTTTATTACATTGCTTCGATGCTAATTTGAAAAGAACAAGCTCCAGGAAGAGAGGAGTTCTGTTTTAAAGTCAACTTGTACTGTGAGAAAAAGTCAGCATGGGGGCTACAGCCTTCTCCCATTATTTGCCCCCAGCAACTGGTATTCAGAAGTCTGCTACTGCTAAACATGAAGGATCTATGTAGGTACTATCGCAAATAGCCACTGGAGTGAGGCCTGAGCCGGCTTTTGGAATTCAGGTTTGTTCCCAAAACTGCTGGAAGGAACTTGGCTGCCTGAGAGCTGTCCAAATCCTGCCGCTTTAATAAACTTCATGTAGAAAATGTGGACAGGGACAGCTTTGCCTACTTCTCCCATAATGCTCTCGCTTAGGGTCGCCCAGTGAAGTCACAGTGCAGTATTCTCAGGATGGGTGAAAGGAAGTCCTTCGTGCAATGCAGGATCATCTTGTGGAAATTGCTGCTGCACACCGTGGGGATGGCCTCTTTTTTTAATGCCTCTTTTTAAAAATTGCTTTCCAAGTGGGCTAAAGCCAATTCATGGAGGACGAAATGCCTATCAGTGGCAATTGACCATGATGGTGGAATGGAACTTCCATGGTCAGAGCCAGTGTACCTCTGAATAACAATTTGTTGTTGTTGTTCAGTTGCACAGTCGAGTCCGACTCTTCGCGACCCCATGGACCAGATCCCGCCAGGCCCTCCTGTCTTCCGCTGTCCTCTGAAGTTTGCTCAATTTCATGTTCGTTGCATCGATGACACTGTCTAACCATCTCATCCTTTGCCGTCCCCGTCTTCTTTGACCTTCAATCTTTCCCAGCATCAGGGTCTTCTCCAGTGATTGCTCCCTTCTCATTTGGTGGCCAAAGTATTTGAGCTTCAGTTTCATTATCTGGCCTTCCAGGGAACAGTCAGGGTTGATTTCTTTTAGGATTGACTGATTTGATCTTCTTGCAGTCCAAGGGACTCTCAAGAGTCTTCTCCAGCACCATAGTTCAAAAGAATCTATTCTTCAGCGCTCGGCCTCATAGCCATACATGACTACTGGGAATACCATTGCTTTGACCATGCAGACTTTTGTTGGCAGGGAGATGTCTCTACTTTTTATCATGCTGTTTAGATTCGCCATCGCTTTCCTCCCAAGGAGCAGGCGTCTTTTAATTTCATGGCTGCAGTCACAGTCTGCGGTGATTTGGGATCCCAGGAACGTGAAGTCTGTCACTACTTCCACGACTTCCCCTTCTATTTGCCAAGGAGTGATGGGGCTGGATGCCATGATCTTAGTTTTTTTGATGTTGAACTTCAAGGCCACTTTTGCGCTCTCCTCTTTTACCCTGAGCAAGAGGCTCTTTAGGTCCTCTTCACTTTCTGCCATTAGAGTGGTATTGTCTGCATATCTGAGGTTGTTGATCTTTTCCCCAGCAATCTTAATTCCAGCTTGTGATTCATCCAGGCCAGCATTTCGCATGATGTACTCTGCATATATATTAAATAAGCAAGGTGACCAGGATAACAATTACTGGGGAACAAACAAAGATAGAATGTCTCTTGCTAATGTGTTTCCCAGAAGCACCTGGCTAGACGTGTGAAAACAGGATCCTGGACTAGTAAGTCCATTGGTTTATCCAGCCGGGCTCTTAGGTTATTAATTTGTAGCCAGCTAACATCTTGCCTTGCCTCTTGCTAATCATCTTGGACATCCATCTGCTCAGCACAAACCACTGGCTTCAAGTCTTTATTGCCTGCTGCCTCCAGAACATTCAAGCCCAAAAGAAAAGACCTCAGCAAGTCAACCAGTCAGGAAGCCCAGCCAGTTTCTTGTATTGTAGCTGGATCTCTAAGATCTTGACTGACATTCAGCCTGACATCAGCTGGAAGCATTATGTAAATCATCAGAGATCTCGGTAAGCCAGCCAGTCAGGGAGCCTTGCAAGCTTCTTCTATTGTTGCGAGACCTCTCAGATCTTTATCGACCATTCAGCCGGGCATTTGGCTGGGAGCATTATGTAAATCCATCGCACTCCTGTGACTTCCAGTCTCGGGACAATCTGTTGCAATCTGTAGCCAGCAAATCAGGGGAATGAGATTGTCCTGTCTGAAGGATATGTGTCCCTTGCCCACCATAATTGGGACACTGGGGAGGGAGAACGTTTTGATCTACTCACCAACAAAGTGGCAGATTTTTCCAAAATAGGGGAACATATCTGCCTCTGGAGAATCCGCAATAGGTATGTGAAGGAGGTCCTCACTATCTTCTGGGAAGCTAAGAAAGAGCAAAGAGAAAATCTGTTCAGGTGCTTGGGAAATCCAGGAAAGTGGTATTGAGCGTGTTTCAAACAATCACCAGGTCGGTAAGAAGATCAGGCAGATTCCAGCTGATAGGTTTGTGATAGCAAAGCTCTATTTGGCACGAAATAGAATAAATTACAGCTCCAAATATGACAAGGAAGAGACCACACCAGACAACAGGGAGTAAGATTTTTCCATTGGAACCACTGGATGTAGATAGACTTAAACTTCAGGCCTATTGACAGCCATCCTGGAGCACTGCGGCTTGAGGCAATGCCTTCCTAAAGGAAACCACAGCTTCTTAGTGCCCAAGCACCTTTATGATTAAGTGACTACATTTGTAAAGCCTAAACAAAAACTGGGTGCAGGTTATAGGACTGCAGAAATCTGACACAGAGCTAAAACAAAGAAGCTTCTAAACGCAACACATTAAATGCCGTTCTCCCGAGTCCTCGTCCCACACTCCTAACCACTCCACCACACCAACCAAGGGCTAAAACAACAGCATTGTATGCACTAGAGAAAGGTTTACGGCAGCTGGCTCCTTTGCTGTGGATGCGTGGGCCAATACACATTTTTATTATGGACGAGTAACTTTTCTGGGCTCTATTGCAAGGCTGGAGGAGCAGCCCCGTTCAGTGCTGCTATCACCTTGGACCAGGGGTGTCAAACATAAGGCCTGGGAGCTCGAACCAGCCCATCCGGAAGAAGAGGAGAAGAAGAGATTGGATTTATCCCCCGCCCTTCACTACCCAAAGGAGCCTCAGAGCAGCTTACAAACTCCTTTCCCTTCCCCTCCCCACAACAGACACCCTGTGAGGGAGGTGGGGCTGAGAGAGCTCTGACAGAAACAGCTCTTTTTCAAGGACAGCTCTTATTAGAACTATGGCTTTCCCAAGGTCATCCAGCAGGTGCAAGTGGAGGAGTGGGGAATCAAACCCGGTTCTCCCAGATTACAGTCCGCGCGTCTAACCACTACACCAAACTGGCTCTCCGGGGCTCTTATGTGGCCCAAGAGCAACTGGTGCGAGGGAGGGAACAGGAGGCTGTTTGGTTGGAAGTGGAGCCACTCCAATTGTGGCTTCAGCACGGTGGAACAACCTCGTCTGCACCAGTCAAGCAGAACCCCTTCACTTCAGGAATAGCCTCACTGGAAAGTTGGGAGCCACCGCAGTCACATTCATACCTTTCCACTCGGCCTGCAGCTCCAGGGATGCTGTCCCGGATGGCCGCAGGGATCAGCGTTCACACATGGGGGGGTGCAGATGATCCTCTGTTGGGGCCTGCTGGCAACCAGCTCTGCTGCCATATTACTGCCCCTCCCCCATGCAGCAGCTGGGCTTTGGCCCATGGGGGGCATTCTTTGGCAGTTTCTTCCACACATCACAGGCCTAGTCCTGCTTAGGGTTGCCAAATCGTTCTTACCTTGCGGCGGGGGGCTCCCGTTCAGCGTCTTGAGCGCGCACGCGCGCCGCATGCACATCACCCAGATGTGACGTGATGACGCCGGGCACGCTGGGGGCGGGGCCACAGCCATTTGAGGGGAAAACTCTATGTTTTCCCCTCAAATGGCTGTGGCCCCGCCCCCAGCGTGCCCGGCGTCATCACGTCACATCCGGGTGACGTGCACGCCGGGGTGGGGTTTCCCCCGGGGCCCGATTCCGTGGCGGCGGAAATCGGGCCTCCAAAGCAGGGGGAAATCCACCCCCCGGGGGGAATTGGCAGCCCTAGTCCTGCTACCGATCACATGACTTGGTGGCCAGGCCTCCCCGCCCCGTAGACCATCCGGCACACAGCCCGTCCCGACAAAGTGACATTTACGTCAGATCCAGCCCTCATAACAAATGAGTTCGACGCCTCTGCCTCAGACCACGCGACTCACACTAAGTCCTTCTCCTCGGAGATGTTGATATGGGCTATGATTTTCAGGTCCTTCTTGTAGCTTCCGATCGCCGGCTTGCCTGTAATCTCCCATGTACAGCTTCTTCGGAATGATCTCAACTGGGTAAGGCAGCAATTCCTCTAGTTCCTGTGGAAGAATCAAAAGGTACAATGAAGGGCACACTTCTGAAATCGGAAGCCCGCCAAATCAATCAAAGTTCAAGTTCTGGGCTGGGTCGGAGGGCTTAAAAGACTTGTGTACAATCCACTCAGAAGCTTTAAAGTTGCTTAAACGGGCGCTTACTTTTCCTGTTGCAGTCAACCAGGCTGCTTATGTGGGGTTGGACCGTGGTCCCAGGGCAGCCTGGCATCCTAACATTTTAAGACTGTGGGGCCTCCTTGACTGCTACAGCCCACTGTTAATAAAATGGACCCGAGCAACCTCAATAGTAAATGATATTTAGGGGAACAGCAATACAATAGACATATAAGAACAGATATAAATTGCTGCAAAGTTCACACATTACAATAGGGAGAACAATAAATTGTCGTCCGAAATTTAGACTTGTTAAGCTGTGAGCTGTTGAAGCCTTGCTGGATAAGATTGATATCACTACTGAATGTAAAAAAGACAGCCTGAGAACTGAATTCTGGTTGATAAAGAGTTCTCGAAACGAACAACCACTCGAGATGTTCGTCTCTCTGCATTAGTTGATGTCATCTTTGGTTCATGACGTCTTGTGCTCTGTAGAGCAAAAGAATTAAAACATCACGAAGCGTCATTGTTGTCACGTTTATTAGTGTCTATCTATTGCAATATGTGAACTTTGCAGCAATTTATATCTGTTCTTATATGATGAAATGGACCCAACAGCATGCAAGCAGGGGAAAGGGGCGGTCACTCAGAGGCACAGTTTGACGGCAGAGGGCTGAGGCTCAAGCTGTGATGGTGGAAGGTGTGAGGCTCATCACCGGTGGAAGAACCGTAAGACCACAGATCTTGGGGGAAACCATCCACGGTTGTACAGCCACTGCCAGTCAGAGGAAACAATATGGAGCAGGAGCTTCTTTGCATATTAGGCCACACACCCCTAGTGTAGCCAATCCTCCAAGAGCTTACAGAGCTCTTCTTACTGGGGCTACTGCAAGCTCTTGGAGGATTGGCTACACTAGGGGTGTGTGGCCTAATATGCAAAGGAGCTCCTGCTACCAGTAGAGCCCTGAATAAAACAGATTAGAGGAGGAGGAGGAGGAGGAGATTTATACCCCACCCTTCACTCGGAGTCTCAGAGCGGCTTCCAATCTCCTTCCGTTCCTCTTCCCATGACAGACCCCGCTGTGAGGTAGGTGGGGCTGAGAGAACTCTGAGAACTGCTCTTGAGAGAATTGCTCTGAGAGAACTTGTGCCTGACCCAAGGTCACCCAGAGAAGAAAAAGAGTTGGTTTTATACCCCGCCCTTCACTACCCAAAGGAATCTCGGAGCGGCTTACAAATCACCTTCCCTTCCTCTCCCCACAACAGGCACCCTGTGAGGTAGGTGGGGCTGAGAGAGTTCTGAGAGGACTGTGACTGACTCAAGGTCACCCAGCTGGCTGCATGGGTAGGAGGAGAAGGGAATCATTATCAAACCCAGTTCTCCAGATTAGAGTCCACCGCTCTTAACCACTACACCAGAGGATCATAAAAAAAGAAGAAGAAGAGATTGGATTTATACCCCGCCCTTCACTACTCAAAGGTGTCTCAGAGCGGCTTACAAACTCCTTTCTCTTCCCTTCCCCACAACAGGCACCCTGTGAGGTAGGTGGGGCTGGGAGAGCTCTGACAGAAACTGCTCTTTTTCGAGGACAGCTCTTATCAGAACTATGGCTTGCCCAAGGTCATCCAGCCAGGTGCAAGTGGAGGAGTGGGGAATCAAACCCGGTTCTCCCAGATTAGAGTCCGCGCACTTAACCATTACACCAAAAGGGAGACAATGGGACTTTCTTGCCTAACCTTTTATTGGGAAGAGCTCTGGCCCAGCAGTAATGATCCCTGTGAGGATCCAGTTAAAGAATCTCAGGTAGCAAAGCGCTGGGGGAAGTCCTTTCTCTGCCTGAGACCCTGGAGAGCTGCTTGCCATTTAGAAGAGAAAGAACAAGACCGGGGGCCAATGATCTGAATCAGCAAAAAGCAGTCTCAGGCATAGACGGGGCTGTTGTTCGGGGTTTCAAAGGAACCCACCTGAGGGCAAGCGTGGTCTCAAATGGGATACATCTTGCATATATGAAACTGGCCTTGTACCACGGCAGTGTTCCCTCTAAGCTGAGTTAGTGTGAGCTAGCTCACAGTTTTTTAGCCTCTGGCTCACACATTTTTGTCTTCGCTCCGGAAGGGTGGCTCCAGAGCAAACCAATTCATGCAGTAGCCAAATCACCTGCTCACAGCTTTAATGCCAATCGCTCACAAAGTAGAATTTTTGCTCGCAGGACTCCATAGCTTAGAGGGAGCACTGGTCCGCGTAGTTCAGTTCTGTCTACTGTGGCTGGTGGCAGCTCTTCTGCAATGAAGGATCGTTCTGCACACCCTGGGAACTGAAACTAGGACCCTCAACATGGAAAGCAGGCAATCTGCACTGAGTCGTCACGTAATGGGAAAGGAATCCAGAGTCCCTCTTGAGACCTTACTTCATGTAAGTAAACATTTGCATGGCCTATCTCGCTCTGCCGCCTCACCTTAATTCATTTCTTTGGAGACAACCTCCATGGAAGTCTAAAAGTGCATTCACCCACAACTCTGTTGGTATCCTTTTCATCTATATTTACACCACCTCTCATCAACGGAGACCCAAAGCAGCTTACAACATCGTTCTTCCTTCCTCCATTTTATAATAGTGAGGTAGGCTGGCCCCGGCTCCATGGCAAGCGGAGATCCGAACCTGGGTCTCCCAGATCCTACTCTGACACTTTACCCACCACACCACGCTGGGTCTCAGCTAGAGATGTAAAATTTCTGGAAATTTTGAAGCTCGGGAAAAAACCCGGGTTTTTTCTGTTTTTTCCGGGAAAAAACGGAAATTTTTGGAAAAATTGAAAAAAATGCTACCTTGGCATTTCTTTTGTCTTTTCTAGATTGAAAGTCATTCTGTTACTTTAGGAACATAAAATATGACTATGGACATTTTTACTTGGCATTAAATTATCACAACTAGCGTATTATAGTGTATCCAAACAATTATTACAAACAGAATACCCACCCACATGCAAAAACAAAACTGAAACTTTTTTATTTTCTTCTGACAATCGCACCTCCTAAAGGAAGAAATGCATCTTGTTCTTGCATTGGAGAGTTCAGTTTGTGACCTAGGACTTGCTTGTCCTCAGTGCACAGAAATTAGATCAATCTGATATATGAGAAATGATTTGGAAAATATTTGAACACCTTATCTTAAAATATTTTATTCATCATGTTAAAATAAAATGTTCCATAATCATTTTTTTTCTTTTCTTTTTTCAATTTTTCCAATTTTTCAGAAAAAAACAAAAAGGCTTCAGGAAAACCCCCGTTTTTTCCCCGAATTTTTCCGGGTTTTTTTCCGGGCCTTCACATCTCTAGTCTCAGTTGTCCTTTAAAAGTCGCTATAAAACCCAACTTCTGCTCAGCAGCAGATTTTTGTCTGGGCAGTTTGAGCTTAAGAGCTGAAACTTTCCTGCATGCAGTCTCCTAGTTAGGGAAGAGGGCGTCGGCACACATCCCCCGCGTGAGTATGAGCATCAGGATCGATTAAGCAACACAAGCACACCGAGGCTCATTTGCATGCTTAATCCGACTTGTCCGGCACAGGATTCGGATTCCTTCCCCCTCACCCCCAGCAGGGCCCCAGGCTCAAGCAGATAATCAATCTGCGGGTGTGTGAGGAATGTAGGCTACTTTTTAAAAAAATGTTAAGAGTGACACAAGCAAAAAGTGATCAAAGAAGCTGCAGCCGAGAGCAACATATTGATTGGATGTGATTTCTAGAGCAGCCTTGCCCAGCTTTGAGATTGCAGGGTTGTCCCTCCAGAAGTCTGGGGAGGGAGGATGGTGCACGAACTGGCAGCAGCTGCGTGGGAAACAGGGACGGCATCTAGAGCATGATGGAGACAGCACCTGTACTGCAACCGTCCCCATTACCAGGGATGGTGCCTACTTTCTGGCCTCCGCCCCAATCAATCACTGTTCCTATTTCATCCTGATTTATTCATTGGCTATAGAAGGATGTCTGCGGAGGGTTGGCAACCCTTGGCTAGCTACCAGTGGGAGCCCTACTGGGCTCTGGGGAGGAAGTGGGAAAAACAGGAAGTGACATCACCAAATTCCCGTACCGTGGCTGGAAGTGACCTCATGCATTGTGTGACACTATTTTCCCTTCCCGCTGCTCACTCACGCTGAAAGCGAGTAACTAGCATCCCTATGACCAGTCATAATTGTTGCGAGAACTACTGGCGTTCTCATTCTTCAGTGTCCTGGTTCTTTCCCCGTGTCTCTAGGTGAGCAAAGGGTGGCCACGGGGGGCACATGTATCCGGCCCTCAGAAACACCTGCCGGACTATAGCACTGACCAGTGGGCAGATACTCTGGAAGAACGGATACATGGTATGCCAGCTGAACGTCGCGAAGAATAGCAAAGCAGGACAGAGGGCTGCATCTGGGTCTCTGCCATACCAGGAGCACGGTGCAAGGGGAGAGTGGCCTAAGCCTCCCCGTCATACAATTTTCCCAATGTGAAACGGCCTTGAGGAGCCACTATTAACCCTACTGGGCATACGTATGTACTTACGATTGCCAGGTCTGACTCAAGAAATATCTGGGGACTTTGGGGGTGGAGCCAGAAGCCGGGATGTGACATCACTTTTGTGATTTGCTAGGTTTGCCACGTGAGGCCGACGAGCCAGAAGGGAGTTCTGGACATCACATTTAAAGGGACCCCATTCCTTTTAAATGCTTTCCCTCCGTTGGAAATAACTGAGGATGGGGGCACCTTCTTTTGGGGCTCACAGAACTGGATCCCCCAGGTCCAATCTTTTTGAAACTTGGGGTTTTTTTCAGGAGAGACACCACCAACTAGGCTGAAAATCTGGTGCCTCTACCCAGGGGTCGTTTCGTAGAAAAAGAGCTAGGGGAACTCATTAGCATATGCCACACCCCCTGACATCAGGGGCCCGGCGGTGGACCTGCAAGGCCGGCGGGAGTGCAAGGAAGCCCCGCCAAGGCCCTCCCAGGCAGGCAGGGGTGGGGAGAGGCGGGGAGGAAGCAACTTACCCTCCCTCTTCTCCTGCCTCCGCCTGGCTGAATGAGGGCTGGAAGCGGGGCGGCCGCAAGCAGGGGGCGGGGCTTCGACGTGTGCCCCGCCCGGGAGAACTGCGATCCCCCGCAATCCCCCCCGAAATGACCTCTGCCTCTACCTCAAAAAACAGCCCCCCCCCCCGAGCCCCAGATACCCATGGATCGATTCTCCATTATGCCCTATGGGGACTGGTTTGCATAGAGTATAATGGAGCGCCATCCCCCCCCCCACTTTCTGAAGTGGGAGGAGGGGCTCCAAACCAGTGGATCCCCTGCCCCCAACTGGGGATTGGTGACCCTATATGTACTGAAGGCTATATATCTCATTATCTGGCAACCACAGCCTGTGAATCAGCCTTTGGACTAACAAGTGTGTCCCCTGTTTTCATCCCCAAAACACTGTACAGGATTGCCAGTACATCTCACCCCGCACTTGAAACAAGCATTCATTTTGCTTCTCTCTGCCTCTATGCACATACATACACACCTCCTGGCTATGAACCCAGCATGGAGTTTCACCACATACACGGACAGGCTTATTAAAACCATGTTTTCCATACTTCTGGCAATGTTTAGCTTTTTATTCCATTTCTTTTAAACCACGCTGTTATTTGAATTTGCAATGCCGCTCACAGCAATGGGTGTGCGTACGCTCAAGTAGCTTTGGGACGGTCACAAGGACCACCCAATCAATACTCAGCAAAACCAGGTGGGGCGACAGTGACTTTGTGATGAACACAAGGGCCAGCCAATCAATAGCCAGCTCAACTGGTTGAGTAGTTTCATGACTCTCACGATGCCCGGCCCATCGGCATCCTGAACTATCAGATTCTCCTGGGCCTGATTCATTCGGGAACTCTGTATGTCCCACCAAGGGCTGCAAAAAGCACAAGTTCCCCCAACGTGGCACAAACATAAACAAATGTAAAATAGATGACAGCATTCCAGCAGAACAAAGAAAAAGACTCTACAAATCCCTTTGTCTGAGTGAGACACGGAAGCAACATTCTTTCCCTCTCACCTGAGGCATCCAGAATACCTTCTCAGTCCTCAGGAAATGGTAACAGGCGGTGAAGCGCTCATACCCGCCTCTCAGGACCTGGACAGGGAAGCGGGTATACCGCTGCATGACTCTGGCGCAGCGTGCGGCAGATCCGTGTTTGGCATCTGCAGACAGAAGCAAACGAGCGGCGGTTGCAATGGGTGCCCCTTGCCGGCACCCTCCCTGAACGGGCTATTTCCTCCTAGGTTTCCCCTAGGACAGTGATGGCGAACCTTTTAGAGACCGAGTGCCCAAACTGCGACCCAAAACCCACTTATTTATCGCAAAGTGCCAACACGGCAATTTAACCTGAATACTGAGGTTTTACTTTAGAAAAAACAACTCACACATTAGCTTAAGATGATCCAAACAAAGGAAGGAAAGCAATCCCAAATGCTTTCATTTACTTAAAATGATTTGGCAGAGAATTCGACACTTTAATGATGGTCTGGGCCTGTTTGGGGTGATGGCACGCATGCCCACAGAGAGGGCTCTGAGTGCCACCTCTGGCTCCCGTGCCATAGGTTCGCCACCACTGTTCTAGGACCCTGGAGAGCAGAGGTCAGGCTTTAGCACTTTGGCCGCCCTGGTCTCTTCAACATCCCTCTCAGCTTTTCCACGCTTGAGAGATAAACCAGGAGTCGCATTCCACCTGGAGGATGATTAAGAGCCAGTGCTTGCCACAAGGCTGGCTGTAGGATTCTATGAGATACCGAGTGTCCAGGGGCCATTCTCTCCCCACTACATGTTTGGAGGTTTTAATGACTATATCATGTTTTTAATGCTCTACTTGTGTTAATTAATTATGTTCATGTTTGTTGTACCCCGCTCTGAGCTCGCTGTGCAGGGAGAGCGGGCTAGAAATTAAATAAACAAACAAACAAATAAATAATACTTGGCCTCCTCACACAACTGTGACAAATAGCACCCCTCAAAGTAATTTTCGGTCACAACATGTATCCATTACAGTTGCCTGTGCCACAGATTACCCCTGTAAATGCCTTCCCTATGTGACCCTTTCCCTAGCATCTGGAGCTCTGTCTCAAACCCTCCTTTGAATCTAGTTATATTGGCTTCCCTGCTTCACCCTGCTCTCTCCTGTTATACTATCCGATCAGAGATTACCGGTAGTGATTTTCGCCCACTACCCAGTATCTGGTCCACTGTGGGCACACTTCTATGTAGACCTTACAGGAGCATTGTGCACCTATGCCTGATTGCCATCTGGTATGTTGTATTATTTGTTTGTTTCATATAACTTAATTGGAAGAATGTTTTAACTATTTTAATTGTTTTATCCAGGGCTCTTTTTGTAGAAAAAGCCCAGCAGGAACTCATTAGCATAATAGGCCACACCCAACAGCAGAAACTCACTAGGATTGGCTACATTAGGGGTGTGTGGCCTAACATGCAAAGGAGTTCCTGCTACAAAAAAAGCCCTGGGTTTTGACAACAAACAAGGTAAACAGAATAAGAAGGGAAAGGTGGGTGTGGCTGGATGACCACACTTCTGGTAACATGGGGGTGCGGCCTAATGTGCTACTGAGCTGTGCTGTCAGGGTGTGGCCTAATATGCTAATGAGTTTCTGCTGGGCGTGGCCAACTCAGGAGCCAGCCGGAACACCGTTCCTGCCCAAAAAGAGCCCTGGTTTTATCCATTTGTTGTAACCAGCCCTGAGCCCTGCGTTGTGTGGGAGAGCGGGAAAGTAATCCAATTAATTAACAATTATTTTTTAAAAGTCTCTTCTCCCCCTGCTGTGCCGCAGTCCTGATCGAAACTGGACTACAAGCATGGACGGCTTCAAGACGGAAATGGATAAGCATATGGAGCAGAGGTCCACCAGTGGCTATTAGCCACAAGGTATAGATAGGGACTCTCAGTCTGGGGCAAGTGACACCCTGTATTCTTGATGTTCGGGGGGAGGGAATAACAGTGGGAGGGCTTCTGGTGTCCTGGCCCCACTGGTGGACCTCCTGATAGCACCTGGCATTTTTGGCCACTGTGTGACACAGAGTGTTGGACTGGATGGGCCACTGGCCCGATCCAGCATTGGCTTCTCTTATGTTCTTATGCTCTTATGGACTCCTGTGCACTTGGGAATTCAGTGGGAATGTTTGCGTGTGAGAGCATGGGAGTTGGGATGGGGGAACCCAGACACGCCCCGTCTGATTTGGACCACAGGCTCTGTAACAACTCTCAGCCTGACACCGCAGCAAATGAAACAAAACTCTCAACTTACTAAATTTAGGTGACAGTTTGCGTTTCTGAAGCAAGGCTTCTGGATCCCCTTCGCAGTCTAAGTGGGGGGGGGGAAAAAGATTAGTTAGGAATTGACTGGAAGGATCTGCTGCTAGCCCGCGCAGAGGAAGACACCACCTTCCTCTCGTAACTATGTGCTGAGAGGAAGAGGAACAAGAGGAGGCGAGATCACTCAGTAGCAAAGAAGATCCTCTTCCAGCACAGACTGGTTCAGAAATCCTTTTCCTACCAAAACTTTCCTGCTCTTTCTCCCTCTTCCCTGAGTCCAGCACAATCTGAATGGAGGAATGATTTTATTTATGGCGAAAGCCAGCACTTTTAAAACAGACAAAATCAAAGTAGGTTAAACAAGAAAACCAATAAAACAGTTATAAAAATATAAAATAATAAAATTTAACATGCAGGTATGAGGACATGAAGGAGCTGCGGTGGCTCAAGTGGTTAAGACGCTGAACTGCAGGCTGTGGAAGGTCGGTAGCTCAGCAGTTCGAGACTCGGGTGCTGCATGACGGAGTGAGCTCCCGTCTCTAGTTCCAGCTCCTGCCAACCTAGCAGTTCGAAAGCAAGAAATTGCAAGTAGATAAATAGGTACCACTTCGGTGGGAAGGTAACAGCGTTCCGTGCGCCTTGGTGTTTAGTCATGCCGGCCACATGAGCACGGAAACGTCTTCGGACAGCGCTGGCTCTTCGGCTTTGAAATGGAGATGTGCACCGCAACCCTAGAGTCAGATTCGACTGGCTTTCGAGCAAGGGTACCTTTACCTTATGAGGACATGGCAATTATGACGGACATAGCCATTGTAACATACATATAAAATAGCTAAAAGCCAAACATTTACTTGGCGGAGCTGCTAATAACCTTTTGGTTCTTAAGGCAAGCCAACCAAATTTGGCTAATTTAAGTATAACCTCAGGGTGCCTATAATTCAGAAAATTCTTCAGGAGTTGCATTTTTTGACTGGAAGTGAGAGGAATAGTTGTGGAAAACGGAAGGGTATCAGGATACTTGTTATACGCCTTGCAATCATATATGACCAGGGGTCATTTCGTAGAAAAAGAGGTGCAGGAGCTCATTAGCATGACTCATTAGCATAACATATTTGCATATGCCACACCCCCGACATCACTGGAAGTGTGTCAGAAGGCAACACCCACCACTCAGGCTCCACTGGACAGTTTTGGATTGCTAGCTATTGGGGGGGGGGGGGATGGCGGATCTGGGCCTTGTCTGTCCTTGCAGAGGAGGGAGAGCTTGTACCTGAATAAAACCTGGTCTTAAAGGTGCCACTGGACTGTTTTGGACTGGGGGGGAGCGGGGCTCTGCAACTTACCTGGCTGCTTCTTGCTCTGACTAAGGGCTGCTGGGAGCAGGGGGTGGGGCTTGTTGCATGTGCCCGCCCCCTGGGCTCTTTACTGCCAGAGCTCCGCTCCTGTGTGCTCCTGCAGGAAATGACCCCTGTATATGACATGCATTAAGGTTTCCGTGCCTTCATTACAACAAGGGCATAATCTGGCTTGACCTTCATCAACGTCTGACCACCCTCCCTAGTCCTCCACCTATGCAAAAGTTCCCCTTTGCCCTCTCTTTCCCCACAACCTGGCCCATCTGCCTCCCAACTCTTGTCCTTCAATGCTTTTTTGTGTGCACCTTAACTACCATCATGGTACCATCATAATTCAGCCTCCTCCCCCTTTCTGGCACAGGACTGATATATTCCAGGCTTGCAGGTCAGTGGGTTTCATGCCACTGCTGGGGGTTAATGGAAGGCTCCAGGTCTGCAGAGGCTGTAGATCTAGTCCAGCATCCTACAACAGCCAAACAAGCTGCCTTGGAAATCCAGAAAACCTCCCCCCCCCAGCCCCAAATGCTGCCGAGATCAACTGGGATTGCACTTTCTGTGTCGCGCCCTGTCCGCCCCCGGCAGCCACTGCCCACATTCTCCACCACGTTGTCATGCCCCATCTGCCCCCCCAGGGGAAAGGCCACCTTTACTGTAGCACTCCTGATGTTGGGTCGCACCCCCTCACCTGGCTCCCCCCCCCCCCGCCGGAACACCTTCTGCCACAACGTGGGCGTCCGGCATGTGTTTTTTTAAACAAATATTTTATTTTTTATAAAACATTGCAACGACCAAACACACAAATATATAACACGCAAAGACATAAATGTATGTATGGGATGTGTGTGTTCAGCTACATTATCAGTTTACATGCTTGAATACTTCACACCAGGGCTATTTTTGTAGAAAAAGCCCAGCAGGAACTCGTTAGCATAATAGGCCATACCCAACAGCAGGAACTCATTAGCATATTAGGCCACACCGACAGCACAGCTCATTTGCATATTAGGCCATACCCCCGTGTTACCCGGTATGGTCATCCAGCCACACCCACCTATTGCTTCTTATTCTCTTTACCTTGTTTGTTGTCAAAACCCAGGGCTTTTTGCATGTTAGGCCACACACCCCTAATTGTAGCCAATCCTAATGAGTTTCTGCTGTTGAGTGTGGCCTATTATGCTAATGAGTTCCTGCTGGGCGTGGCCAGCTTGGGAGCCAGCTGGAACTCCGTTCCTGTGCGTTCCTGCCCCAAAATAGCCCTGCTTCACACCATATTTGTTTTCCATGTTCCACCTTATGTTCTTAGAAAGTTCTTCTGCATACTTTTAAGTATCGGTTTTTATAATCTATGAAAGGTTGTATGTCTGTATACTTCATCTATTATATTCTTCAGTTCATTTCAAAATCTAAAACCATGTGATTTCACACATACACAAGCATTTACATAGGTATCTAAAGAATAGGGGATTTCATTACCTCGTCAGATTACCTATTTAAATACCTCAACATTTGTTTTTCAAATTTCACCTTATATTCTTTGAGTCCAGCGTTTTTCATCTTCACTAGAGCCTCCTTTTACCCCGCCTCCTCCCTCTTGTGGACCTGACTGACCCTCCCTCAGTGGAGCTGGCCCCTGCCCATCACCGGAAGCTGGGCACCAGTGGGCCACAGAAGTGATTGGTGGGGCTGTGGCCAGTGGGACTGTAGTGTGTTCTCTTCTCACAGCCCTGCTGCTGCCCCCAGGCATTATCCATGCAAAGCCGTGCCTTCTCCTCCATATGAAAAAGTAACACAACAGGGAAAAGGCTAGACTAGAACCTTGATAAGCTAGTTTTCTGTGTGCTTGCGATTTCCCCCCCACCATTCACATGAGCTCCTACCTACGATCTGAAGAGGGACAGCCCAGGAAAACTCTTCCTGCCTCCTCAGTGAGAACTAGCTTCGTGTGGAATCTTGTGTGAACCAGGCCTATCACACAGAAGCAGCTGGCCTGCTTAACAACAATAAGAACGGCAGGGGCAGGAATACCTTTCAGTTCTTCATCCAGTTCTGGTAAGTCATAATCCATGTCAAAAGCAGCTTCCAGGGAATCCGTTCTGCCATCGTACACGATGCAGTATTGGACGCACTCCAAGTCGATGGACTGCGGAGGGGTGTATTTGCCTAACAGATTCTTTAAAGCACAAACACAAGAAACCAGAGTATTAAGTACTGTGTGCTAAGATATTTTGGGTCCCCATTGGGTGGAAAAGTTGTGTATACAAGAATTAAAATAAAATAACAGAGCAGAAGTCTAGTCAAACAGGGGCCCAGACTGATCTTTAATTTAGCAGGAATTTTAATTTAGCAGGAATTTGGGGGCCTGGCATCACCAAGAGGTGTTGAGACCCCGACCGTAGTGCCCTTAATTATAATTATATAGCTCTGTTTTTATCAAATTCTGTTTCAATTGTTTTATATTTTGTGTGAGCCGCCCTGAGCCTGCCTTGGCAGGGAGGGCAGGATATAAATTAAATTAATAAATAAAAAATCTTACCCCACAGCCCCCCCAAGCCTTGCCTCACAGCAGTGCCGGTGCCAGCTTAGCTGAAAAGCACGTACTGAAAGATTCCAGCCAAACCACAGATAACCCAAACTGATGGCCAACATGTCCAAAAACACAACTCACCTGTTTCACTCTTAGGGCTGTTATCAGGTGGCTTTCGTAGTACTCCCGCTTAGTACGAGCATCTGAGAATTAACAGCATACAAGCAAAAAGGCAGACAGGTCAATGGATCAATCCCCTGAAGCAAGGATGCATAACTAACTGAAGGTGCCTAGACAGAACCTGCGTCCCATCCCGATTCCTCTTAGTCCTTTTCTCTTCCTATGCCAGGCTGGGAGCAACAGGTGAGTCTCTCCCATCAAGATTATTATTTTTTAAACCTGAATTGTTGGCAGTACTGATGGGCCTTGAACTCCTAATCAAAAGGTGTGCCCAAAAAGTAAATTCTGCAAATATACATAAAATGGACAGCTCTACTGATATAGCAAGACACCTCTAGTCTAAAAAGTAAGCCTTTTTCAGTATAACAGTGAAATATGCCTTTACATTTTTTACTTGTGTGTGTGTGTGTGATGGATGTTGGATTTTGGGGGGATGCTGTGTGATATTGCTATGGACCCATGCCCCTTATGGATCTGATAGCTTAAAGTGGCACCCCTTGAACTGGGCCTGGAAATTCACTGGTAAGCAGTGGAGCCTGTAGAATACTGGTCCGGGGTGTTCTCTATAGCTAATACAAAAGCTGGTCTACCATATTCAAAATCTTTTGAAATTTCCAAACTGCCTTTATTGCAGTTTGGAAATTTCAGCTGCCTCCTGAAAGCCAGTGTGGGGCAATGGTTAGAGCATCAGACTAGGGTGTGGGAAGCCCTGATTCAAATACCAACTCTGCTTACGAAAGCTTGCCGGGCGACCATGGACCAGTAACTCTCCCTCAGCCTCACCTACCTCATAGGGCTGATGTATGCTGCTTTGGGTCCCCATTGTGGGTGAGAGCAGGGCATAAATATATAAAGAAACAACAATAAAGAAAACCGATTGCAGGGGGTTGGACTAGATGACCCTGGAGATCCCTTCCAACTCTATGATTCTATGATACAAGGCAACAATTAGGTGCATTGCGGTAAACTGGTCTGAAAACTTTTTTAAAAAAAATAACTGTACACACATTTAGTAAAGAAAGTAATTTATAAGCAGAGACAAACCAGACAAAGGACTAATTTGTTTTTCGTAGCGCACCAGCAGATCTCTCCCAACACATATTTGAGGAATTTCTGGCATGGAGTACAAAACCCTTGAGGCTTTGGCCGTAGCGGAAGAAGCCAGCTCGGTGGGCCTATAAATGGCATTGTCGGAGTGCCTGCACGGGATTATCGACAAGTATACAGGGTGACTGACACACACGAGTGGGAGAAGACAGGGTCAGCCAGCTCTTTCCTGAGCATTCCTCCACCCTCTTGATAAGTCACGATTCCTGTCCCAGGATTTCCTCTCCGATAAAATCAGGAAATCAGTGTTGCCATGTTGGCCCCAGGCAATGAGCAGCTCCTGGACCTGTGTACAAATGCCAAGGCTCAGGCGCAGACTCAGTGAAGGGAGAGATCATGTCGCGCAGTGGTTAGAGTGCTAAACCGGGGAAACCCATCTTAAAATCCATGCTCAGCCAGGCTGCCTGGGTGATCTTGGGCACGTGGCTCTCTCTTGGACACTAACCTAGTGTGCAAGGTTGTTGCTCACAAACAATACCTTTTAATACCCCCAGTTCTCACACCTGTCACTGCCTGAGCTCCCCTTTTACATATTGTTTGGTGTAGTGGTGAAAACTGTCGGACTAGGATCTGGGGGACCCTGGTTTGAATCCTGACTCTGCCATGGAAGCTGGCTGGGGGACATTAGGCCAGTCACGGCCAGCTGAACCTACCTCACAGGGTTGACGTGAGGGTAAAACTGAGAAGAGAATAAAATAAATCGCCTTGGGTCCCCGTTGTCGAGAAAGGCAGGGTTAGAGTTCCTTGATGCAGGAAACTGCCATTGGGGCGTCCTGCAACAACTGTAATGTGCGGGACTGCCCGGAAAGCTAGGGAGTTACTAGCTGCTTGAAATGTAGCTTCAGCTAGGAAGTTACTCCACAGCCTTGGGCACTGTCTCTGTCAGCCCCCCCCCCCATAAATCCATGGTCTTCCACAGTGTAAGCCTGTTTGGGTCCCCATTGAAAAGAAAGGCGGGGTATAAAAAGCCAGAGGGCTCGTTTTATCATATGTGGTGGACATATGAAAAAGCAAAAATGTTTTGGGCTGAGATACATGCAGAAATGGAAAAAATTGTGAAATGTAAATTTAGGAAAGAACCGGAAATATTACTTTTAGGACTTAAGATGGAAGAAGTTAATATGGCAAAAAGGACATTGATGTGGTATATGATCACAACTGCCAGAATGACATACGCTCAATGTTGGAAACAAGACAAGGTCCCTGAAATTGGGGATTGGATAAAAAAACTACTTTTCATGGTTGAAATGGATAAAATGACAAGGAAACTTAATAATTTGGAAGCAAAAGAATTTTTTGCAGACTGGAAAGACTTTAAAGAATATTAGGAGAAATACTGGGATGTAAAGGACAATCTGTTATGCTTTGATAATTATTGAATAGTAAAGGATAGTTGAAAGAAAAGATAAATGTATAAGAATAACAGTTGAAAGATAAGTTACCTATAGATGTGAATAGTGAAAAAGGGAGGTATGAAGAGAATCTAAGAATTGGGCTGGAGGTTGGAGCACTGTGGGAAGCCGAAAAAGGGGGGGGGAGAGGAGGAAAGGATGTATAACAATATAAGCTTTGATATATGTTTGACTTTTTAATTATATCCTAATAAATTGTTTTTGGGGCGGAAAAAAAGAAGAAAGGCGGGGTATAACTTAAAATAAAGCCTCTGCTCTGACTTCTGCATGTCACAGCATTTCCCTCTCCCAGCGATTTCAAAGCAAGAAGGGTGGTTTTTTCCCCTCTTTAAGTTAAAGATATGCTTGGCAAAACCATAATTGTCCTATAATACGTTATCAACAGATCGGAACATACCGCAGGAGCTGCAGGGCGTAAGCTGACAGGTTAGGCACCGCATGGCACCTGCTTGTTTGTGTGAGCACATGCGCGCACACTAGAGACAAGAGGCAGCCATCCGCCCACTCACGGATGTCACTTCTGGAGCACCTGGGGAGAGGGCTAAACCACAAAGAATGACAAGGCAGCCGGTGTGCTCACAGCATTTCAACGAGGCACCTCCAAAAGGGGAGAAAACAGTAACAACACACAGACACTGGTTTACTATGGAAAACAGGGAAGGTCCCTGGTAACTAGAGACAGCTGGAATGTGTGAGAACATGTACACCACCCTGATGTGACAGATAGATATCTGGATTGTGTGTCATGTTTATTCTTTGGGGACAGCTGTGCCTAGTCACATGGAATACAGCTGTTAATGTGGAATGGGCAAGGCTGAAGCCCGGGTGAGGCCGGTGAGGCTGCTACCCCATGGGGAGCACAGGCCTGACCCACTTGAAGATTTAAAAACAAAAACCAGGCTTTGCCATTGGTGATGCGACCGCTTTTGTTTAAAACTTTAGAGGTTGGTTTGAGAATAAGATTTCTTTTTTTAAAACCATCCACAAAGGCCAGTGCCTCCACCCCCCCTTTCCCCAGAAGTGGCAGTGTTCTGGTGACAATGCGCAAATAGGCCCCCCCCGCCCCCCCCCCCCCCCCCGATTCCCACTGGTGCAGGGTGGGCTTTGCAAGATCATAATCACTTGTATGCAAAAATTACTGTGAAAATCCTCATCTCCACTGCTGCTCTGGAAAAAAAAGGGGGGGGTCAGTGGTAACAAGGCAGTAATTATAATGTATTTGCCACGGTGGCACCTCACCTTTGAAGCACCCCCCCCCCCCCCCTGAGATCCACCCGGTACTGAATCCACTTTGTTTTCGTCACCGGGTAGTAGCATTTCTTTGCTTAGCTTCTCAAGTGATGTCAAGATTTTACCTGCCCTGTTTGTTTTTACATCACCAGACACGGTGACTGATTTTTATCTTTTCAATTTTGCATTTGCCTTTTTGTGTATGTGTGTGGGTACTGTTTTCAATGTGGCTTTATGGACTGTTTCACTAGTTGGATATTTTTTAATCTGATTGATATTCTGATCCTAAAGCAGAAGCTGCTTCGAGGGGCAAGTAGGCAGAAATTTGTGAGACATCAACTTTTTAGATCAGTCCTAAATAAATAAACACTATTTGTGTATGGGGAGGAAGGTGGCCCGATTTTGTCAGATCTCGTAAGTCAAGCAGAGTTGGTACATGGAAGGGAGACCACCAAGGAAGACCCTACAGAGGAAGGCGGTGGCAAACCCCCTCTGCTTCTCACTTGTCTTGAAATCCCCTTGCTGGAGGTCACAGAAAGTCACACACAACTTGATGACACTTAACACACACTTGTTTATAAAAGGGATTAGTTTGTTACATCTAGGTAAAAGCTTCCAAAATGAAAAGTAATCCCCTGTCGCATACAAACAATTAATAGTGTCTAAAATGCAAAACAGACACTTGGGCTCAATTATCACTGATTATCTATTCATTTCTTTAAAGCCTCAACTGAAAACACAGCAGTCTCTCCCAGTGAGGAAGGTTAGGCCTCCCAGGTGGTTCTGAGAATGAGGTATAACCTGTGGAATCCCAAGAACCATGTTGTTCTAACACTTTTTTTCTTTTTAAATCCAACAAGTTACTAGCCCTCTGTCATTATCTGGGTTGTGCCACCAGAGGCCTACTAGGTCCAGGGAGCCTGGCTAGCAGTAGATGAGGCTGGGGCTACAACTCCTAGAAGCCCCTGAGAGGTTTTGGAGCCAAAATTGACCAATAGGAAAAGAGGAGGGCTTGGAATAAAATATCTGGTGCAGCAGGAAAAGCTGTTCTTCTTCCCAGGAGCCAGAAGGGACTGAGGCTGCTGTGGGGAAGAGACCCTCATCCTGAGGGAAGGGTGAGTAGTCTAGTGCCACTTGGAATAGTGAGCTAGGGCATTTGATTTCTTTTCTTTTCACCCACTTACTGTTATATTTCTGCACCTTGTTTGTTTGACCTCTTATACAATAAACTATTTTCATTGTTCACTCCTCACGCCTATTATTCAGCCAAAAGGCAGGTCAGAAGGTCTTGGGAGGGTGCTCTGAGCCTTCTCAAGGGAGCCTGGAACCAGAGTGGTGGCAGCGTCAGGTCACCTGAGCCATGACACCCTCGTACACCTAAGACTGTAAGAACACGGGCTGTTTCCATACAATATGGCACCTGGAAACTATGAAGGGTGTGGATGAAAGGCCTGCAAAGTTTAAGGTGCGGGTTCAAGCCCCTGTCCTGCTGCCTAATAAACAACAGATCCTGATTTTGACATGCACTCCTGACTTTCTCTTTCAAAGGGTGGATCCAGCGGAAGAGCAGAACAGATCTTTCTCTGCCTTGCCCTCCCCTTCATCCTGCTACACCTCTCTGAGGACCAGCAGAGCCTCATAAGCCTAATCCGCACCACGGGATCAGGAGTTGCAGCAACAAGAAGGTAAAATTGCCTCCCTCTCCTTTCCTCTCCTGATGCAAGCCGCACGTGGAAGAGTGATTCTTGCCATAGCGCCCTCGTCTTGTGGCATGTTTTGCCGATGAGTCTCTTCCAATTTTCAGATGAGAGCTTTGGGACAAACAGCAGGTTACTCAGGAAAGGTGGGAGAAGATCCACTCTGACAACTCCTTCCATTAACCCTTCTGCTAGATCCAGCCAAACACGAGGTGGGCCTGGGGACAACTAAGCTCTCGAATGCAAAGCAGAAGGCTGGTACAGGTTGGGGGAAAGCAACAGATGAGCAGCATCTTTTCAGGCAGATGTTTGTCAGTTCAAACCCCAGATCAGATCAGAAGCAGCAGAATGGAGAAGACTTCTACTAGAGAGCAATGACCGATCTGAGTAGAATAGACTAATGATTCTTAGTGGGGGTGATGTACAAGTCTTGTGGGGGAGGGAATTCAGAACTTTTGGGGCAGATGGAGGTCCAGCCATTCCATTTTCCACAATTCATGTGCATGTAACTTTTACAACATTATTGTTTTCAAACCAGTTTACAGCATAATGCATCTAATTACAGGCTTGAATCCCACAATTGGTTCTCTATTATTTATTAATCTTAATTTGGATGTTTGTACTCGGCTTTTCTCCCCAGTGGGGACTGGAAGCAGCTTATAACACCATCTTTTATCTTCCTAACACCTCCGTGAGATAGGTTAGGCATACCATTCGCTTTGACCCTTCCCATTACTTACCCAATAAGCATAAATAGTTTGGCTCTGTCAACCTGGAACGTTTTATTGCCTGGTTCAGTATGTTATATAGTTCAGTTGGTTCACACAGCATCACCCCTGCCATCTTGCTGGATGAAAATTATTTAGAAAATCAGAGCACTCCCAAGCAGGCAAATCTGTGTTTGTGGGGTGGGAGCCAACCATGAGTTGCAGCAGTTCTTTCCAACCTGAGTTTGCAGCCTGAAAACCAAGCCACTTTGAGCAGAGCAGAAATGAAGGCGACAAGGTTCTCGTTCAGCCTGAAAATAAAAGAAAAGCATTGACTAGTAGCAACACTTGCAATTTCAGCATCCAAAATATTGCGCACAAATTATCGTGCTGTACTTCTTCCAACAGCCCTGCCAAGTAGGTCAGTATTATTATCCCAATACTGTAGATTTGGTTTGTGCTGATAAGGGTTATTCGCTTAACCACTAGGTTACACCTGCTTCACTGATCATTTTGACTATAGGCACTGGGTTATTAATTTCACACAAATAGAACAAAACATCCAGAAGATACAATGCTGGCCTGCCTTACAGGACTGTTGTAAGGGCTGCAACTAAATAATGCACATTGTGTGCTTTTAAATTATAAAAAGGTATTAATAATAGTAATAATTAAATACAAACTATTCCTCCCTTTAGGCACTGTTCTCGAATGTGCGGTTCGGGATTCCAGTCGCCATGGTAACCATGGTACACTATGACGCCACCCGGCGTTCTGATGCTTTCGTCACAACCACCCTTAACCACGCCCCCACCTTGGAGGCCGGTTCCTAGAAATCAGAGCAGGTCCTATGCCGGAAATGACGCGCGCCTCACTGCCTGCAAACGAGAAAGGCACATTTGCTGATAACGACCTATCTTCCTTACCGTCCCCACGGCCGCCAGCGCCATTCCATACCCATCGGATCACAGTCTCGTTGCTAAGCAAGAGACAACGCGGTAACAAGGCCTGACGGCACACGAGTCTTGACATTTCTCGTGGTATTTTGGGGGACGCCGGTCCGAAACCGGTAACAAGTTATCGCGATATTTTGTGCCATGGCCTTCTGCTAGTGTGGAGAGAGGTACAGGCTCTCGCGAGAGTTGAGATAAGCAAGCTCTCCTTTTTACTGACTTCAGTTCACTATAGTCAGATTTCTTGAAAAATATCCCGGTCACTACCAGTTTTAATTTTAAATAGGGGGGAGATGATAGTAGTGTCGCGAGAGTATCTGTGAAGTATCACAAGAAAAAAGACCCTCGAATCAGCTTTGATATATAGATAGATTAGGTTTCCTTTTGTTTAGTACAGTATACGCGATACTCTCTTTTACTCCCGTACGGCCTGAATGGACTGAAATAACAAATTAAGGATGTAGAGAGTTGTGGACGTATCGCGAGACGAGAACCACGAGAGCAGGTTCAAATCGTGAGATGTTAGATGAAATCTCGTGTGAGGGAGAAAGAAGGTGAAGGTCTCGCGAGAAGAAAATGAAAGACGGCTTCATTGGGAGGGGTTTCATGGGTTCCGTGAAGATCTCGCGAGACTTTGCGCTGTTCTCTCAGCAGTTGTGGTTGGCCGTGCCCTCTTTGCCTGGAGGTCGTTCGCGAAGGAGAAGTGAGAGCGCCGTCTGGTCCCGTCATGTTCGCCCGCTTCACCCGCCCTGCCTCTGCTGCACTTCGCAGGGGGCTCGCTACCTCCTCGCAGGTATCTGGGCCAAGGGGAAGCGAAAGAGGAGCTGATATATGAGACGCGGCAGCAGCCGTCCGTGACCGGGCCTGTCCCTTGTAATTTACTGCGCATGCGCCTCGTGGTCAGCCATACCGTTGCAGCCGCCGGTGTGTCGGGCGCTGCACAAGAAATTTACAGAGATTATACCAAGGCGTTGCTAAAAATTGTAAATGTGTCTGCAGCTGTGTAATCCCGAGAATACGATCGGTTTTTTTGCTAATGAGATCTTGCAATAGTTACCAACACCAGCTTTGGAAATTTGTAGAGCTTTGGGGGGGGGGGGGGTGTAGGGTGTGATACCATACAGACCATTCTCAGCAGCTTTAGTTCTGAGAGATCTCAAGCCCCCACCTGGGCTTACCGTGCCAGTTCTTTGGTCTTGTCAGTGTGGCTTGCAAAAAATGCCTTGAGTAGAAGTGTAGTGATTGATTGACATGTGTGGGTGAGATTTATTAAGTTTTAACACTAGTTATGTCTTCACTGGCGCAGGTCCCTTCTCTTCCGTTAAGAGTATCTGTTAAGCAGTCCCAAAGGGGCATGTACTAAAATGAATGATGGGGTCACCCACTGAGAACAGTGGAAGATGCTGGAATGCCAATTGACTTGCATGAACTCAATTGAAATACATTGCAGTACGCGAAAGTTGCAATGAAAATATGGAGTGGGTTTTGAATAAAGGTCTCTGTAGCCCCCAGAGTGGAAATGACAGTCACTAGGAATAGAATCAGTGCTTTGGAACCGGAATGGCAGACTACATGAGTAGAATGGCACTCCCTGGGAATGGCATAAATGTTCTGGGATTGGAATGACAGCCCCTAGTGTGGAATGATGGCCCCTGGGAATAGCAGAAGTGTACCCATTCCGTTAGGATTGTCTTCCTTATTTCCTGGCCTAAGCCTCTTATTAGAGCGCTTCTAACCTTTCTGCAAGAATACACAGAAGAACTATACAAGAAAGACCTCGATGTCCTTGACAACCACGACGGTATAATCACTGACCTCGAGCCAGACATCCTGGAATGTGAAGTTAAATGGGCCTTAGAAAGCATTGCTAACAACAAAGCTAGTGGAGGTGATGGTATTCCAGCTGAGCTATTCAAAGTCTTAGAAGATGATGCTGTTAAAGTGCTGCACTCCATTTGCCAGCAAATTTGGAAAACGCAACAGTGGCCACAGGATTGGAAAAGATCAGTATACATTCCAATCCCAAAGAAGGGCAACGCCAAGGAATGTTCAAACTATCGCACAATTGCACTCATATCACACGCTAGCAAGGTCATGCTCAAGATCCTACAAGCTAGGCTTCAACAGTACGTGGATAGAGAACTACCAGAAGTACAAGCTGGGTTTCGAAGAGGTAGAGGAACTAGAGATCAAATTGCCAACATTCGCTGGATTATGGAGAAAGCAAGAGAGTACCAGAAAAATATCTACTTCTGCTTCATTGACTATGCTAAAGCTTTTGACTGTGTGGATCACAACAAACTATGGCAGGTCCTTAAAGAGATGGGAGTACCAGACCACCTCACATGTCTCTTGAGAAACCTGTATAAGGGCCAAGAAGCGACAGTTAGAACCGGATATGGAACAACTGATTGGTTCAGCATAGGAAAAGGAGTACGACAAGGATGTATATTGTCGCCTTGCTTATTTAATATATATGCAGAGTACATCATGCGAAATGCTGGCCTGGATGAATCACAAGCGGGAATTAAGATTGCTGGGGAAAAGATCAACAACCTCAGATATGCAGATGATACCACTCTAATGGCTGAAAGTGAAAAGGATCTAAAGAGCCTCTTGCTCAGAGTAAAAGAGGAGAGCGCAAAAGTGGGCTTGAAGCTCAACATCAAAAAAACTAAGATCGTGGCATCCGGCCCCATCACTCCTTGGCAAATAGAAGGGGAAGTCGTGGAAGTAGTGACAGACTTCACGTTCCTGGGATCCCAGATCACCACAGACTGTGACTGCAGCCATGAAATTAAAAGACGCCTGCTCCTTGGGAGGAAAGCGATGGCGAACCTAAACAGCATGATAAAAAGTAGAGACATCACCCTGCCAACAAAAGTCCGCATGGTCAAAGCAATGGTATTCCCAGTAGTCATGTATGGCTGTGAGAGTTGGACTATAAGGAAGGCCGAGCGCCGAAGAATAGATTCTTTTGAACTATGGTGCTGGAGAAGACTCTTGAGAGTCCCTTGGACTGCAAGGAGATCAAATCAGTCAATCCTAAAAGAAATCAACCCTGACTGTTCCCCGGAAGGCCAGATACTGAAACTGAAGTTCAAATACTTTGGCCACCCAATGAGAAGGGAGCACTCACTGGAGAAGACCCTGATGTTGGGAAAGATTGAAGGTCAAAGAAGACGGGGACGGCAAAGGATGAGATGGTTAGACAGTGTCAGCGATGCAACGAACATGAAATTGAGCCAACTTCGGAGGACGGCGGAAGACAGGAGAGCCTGGCGGGAGATTGTCCATGGGGTCGCGAAGAGTCGGACTCGACTGTGCGACTGAACAACAACAACAAACCTTTCTGCTGTTAGTGTAAGCAATTATCCTGTGGGACCTTTTATCCTCGTTATCTCTTGTCAATTACTCTGGTTAAGGGGGGGGGGATTTTCACTGCTAATTTCATCCACAGGGTTTAGATGAGGCCACACAGGAACAAGAAACAATTTCCATCTTCTTTCTTGGTTGAAGATAGGCTTTAGCAAGAAAAGGCCCATTTGTGGAACTTTTTGTGAACTTGCTGACCTTGAGTTACCATTAAAAGTTACACTTTTAAATGAATGTTAATCACAACAGCATTACGTACATTGGAAAAAAGCAAATATGCAAGACATAGTAAGGTACGTTCCTGATGTCAGGAACAAATGGTTTCTTCTTGTAGCTGCTGTCCATCAGTGTAGATAGTATAGACTAGTATAGAATAGAGAATTCTCAATTGTGTTGGAATCAGGCATGATTAAGGGATGCCTGGCTGCTTCCCCCCCTCCCATCATCTGGAGATCGGTTGTAATAATGAGATTTCCAGTGCCCCCCATAGACATTGGCACTCCTAGGTATAGGTTCCTGAATATACATAGGGTATGCCCTGGCCTTAGTCCTGTGGCAAAAGTGAATTCATGTGCTAGTTGGAACAGCCAGCAGTGGGACAGTTGCTGCTCTTACTGATACTAGTTGGGAGGCACTGTTGAAGCAGGGAGTGTCTCAAACAGACTTTGGCTTCCTTCAGACCTGCACTGTCAGCAGCATACCAAAGAATTTGTCTGAAAAGGGGCAGAGGTTTGATTTCTTGGCTGAAGGGCAAAACTCTGCAGAGCAACACATACTGTTCTGTGCCACCTAAGATGTTGGTGCCAAAATATGGGCAGTAAAGAGTTTGTTGGATTTTGTAGCTCTGACAACCTTGTTTCTCCTTGGAGCTGAGGGTGAAGAGAATGAGCTGCCCTAGTTCATATCTCCTATGATCCAGGAAACTGCCATGACCCATCAAGTTCAATATTATCTACTCTGACTCACAGAGCGTGGTCTTTCCCTGCAGCTGTACCTGCTGGCCTTCAACTGAAGAAGCCAAGCAGGTGCTCTGCCACCCCCTGAATCACGGCCCCTCATCTCTGCCACATACTTATTAGGTGTTCTTAGACAAGCCACTCTCTTTTAGCCTTCTGTCTGCTGCATGGGGATAATATGGGTCTACCCTACAGGACTGTTGCAGAGATTGCAATAAGATAATGTATTTGAAGTGCATCAGATACTGAAAGTGCTATATGAATGCTGATGTTGGGCCACAGGTTACAGGAGTTAACCCCTCCTTTGCCTTCACCCAGAGGTGTTCTAGAAGAACAGCAGTTAGGATATACCAAAGTACAAGGCCTTTAAATCTTCCTTACCTTGCCTGTGTTAAGACCTGGCAAAGACAACTGAAAATAACAGTTAAAATGATGAGCAACGTAGTGTGTTGTTAAGATCACAAGAAGGGCCCGGCTAGGTCAGACCAGTGGTCCATCTGGTCTCACACAGTGGCCAACCCGTTCCTCTGGACATCCAGCAATGGGGTATAGAGGCTGAGGCCTTCCCATTGGGTTGTCTTCTGGCACTGCTATTCAGAGGTTTACTGCCTCTGAATGTGGAGGTTCCCTTTAGTCACGATGGCTAGTAGCTGCTGATAGACCTAGACCTATACTCCATGAATCAGTCTGAGCTGTCTCACATTATTGAACCTGGCATATCCCACAGTCTAGTGAGGTGAAAAGAATTCCTTTGGAATTATAAGACTCAGATTTGGGATCAGCATTTTTATGTGAAGGAGGCATGCAGTTCTGTAATCAAAGAATCCTCATGTGTCCTACTGTTGTCACAGACCGGCAAACTAACTTATGTATTAACCTCTGCTTGTGTTTTTCTTATTCCATAGTCTGTAAGGCATTATCTTATTTTATAATTTTATTTTCTGCTCAAGGCTATTGCTGTATGAGCAGTACTAGATAGGTAGGTAAGTAGGTAGGTCTGGGATTCTTGTAACTTGCTATTAGCAGCAGCTTCTCCCATAGACTCGGAAAGGGAAGTTTGTGCTTTATGTCACATGGCTTTATATGGGAGATAAAAATGGACAGGGACTCTGAGCTGTATGGAGGGATTTGGGGTTTTTTAAATGACTTGATGGTTTTGCTGAGATTCATGGTAGTGTACAAGAGTTTGTTGCTTTTAAACTAACCATGTTGGCGGGCTTTCTGCTAGAACCATGAAGACTAGAAACTTTCTCAATTAAACATACCACAGGTATTTTTTCCTTTAAGAGCTTGCAGGTATTCTGCATTATGGACGGTAGTGTTCATTTTGTGCTGTGACAGCAACCCTGCAGGCTTCTACCGGCTATGAATTTCATTCGGACCAGATAGGGCAGGGCAAGTGATCTGTCTGGGGTGGAGCAGCCAAAATCCATTCTAGAGATCAGTGTATGTTAATCAGCCTGCAGCGCTGAAAACATTTGAGAGGGTCCTTACATAGAAGGATTTATCCTGGGTTTCTTTTTGACCCCAGAGTCATGTGTCTCAACACACTTGGTCTTTATTAAGCCTATTTTATTATTCTCCTCCTCCTGCAATGTAGAACAATGCTAAGGTGGCCGTGCTTGGCGCCTCTGGTGGTATTGGGCAGCCCCTTTCCCTGTTGCTGAAGAACAGCCCCTTGGTCAGCCACCTCAACCTCTATGATATTGCCCACACCCCTGGCGTAGCAGCAGACCTCAGTCACATCGAAACAAGAGCGGAAGTCAAAGGTACGACATGCCCAGTTTACTTTCAGTGCATTGCTTTGTTTTCTGGCTTTTTTCTCTTTATGCAGCTGAACCAAAGGACTTGTTAGGGATTGTAATCAACTGTCAGAATTGTGCAAGGATCATCTTTTCCCTGTAAGCCAGGGCTGGTAAAAATGCATTCTCAGTTGACTGGACAAGTATTTTAAAGCAATGAGGGAACATGAGACATTTTCCTTCCCCAGAGCATTAACTGTTTTCCTTAGCAGATGAATATTCTGCCAGTAGAACAGCATAGACAGATTTTTGTCTTGCCACTTCAGGTTTCCTGGGACCCGAACAGTTGCCAGAATCTCTGAAAGACTGTGAAGTTGTTGTGATTCCAGCTGGAGTGCCTAGAAAACCAGGTATGTTAGAAACCCTTTAAAAGGCCCTGTTTTTGATAGAATGGCCGGGCGACATGCACATGGTTTCCAGATTGGTGTCCCAGTTTGAGGTTGCTGATATGGAACATATGGAAGAAAATGCAAGCTGCCATACAGAGCCATCTTCTCTGAGCAGCTCTCTAAGGTAGAGAGAGGTCTTTTCCAGCTCTTATAGCAGAGCTTTTTGAACTGGATATCCCAGGGATTGACCATGAGATCTACTGCATGGAAAGCGGTTTCTTTTCCACTGAAACACATCCCTCTGTAGCTGTTGTGCTAGAGATATGGCCAGGATTCCAGAAGGTAGGCATCTGTTTGTGGCCTCCTTATTGATCTAGCCTTGCTGTCTGCATCAAGAAGCATTTTTACTTGGGTGTGCATTTGTAAAATTTAAACAAATCTTACTTCTGTATGACCCCATTCTCAAAAGCTTCTCTGTCCCTTCAAAGATACATTTAACCCCCAAAGGTGCATTCGGCTTTTTTCCCTGTAGCCTGAATTTCTCTCTAAAGACACTTTGCCTCTGGATTTTACTGTGTGAAACTGCAAAATCCACTTACAAACGATCACCAAAGTGCATTGAAAGTGGATTGTACTGCATTATTCAGCATGTGTGCAAGTGCCTGATTCATGTGTCCTCTTGCAAACCAATGTTCCACAATGCCCAACTGTGGGTGTAGTAAGCTACAGTCTTACCTTTCTTGTGACGTGATTAGTTTGGGTGGGCTCAGAGACCAGGAAGTGGCTAATTGCTTCACTAATCTGATTTTTCAGGCATGACCCGTGATGACCTTTTCAATACAAATGCCACTATTGTAGCTAATTTGACAGCAGCCTGTGCCAAGCACTGCCCTGAAGCTATGATCTGTGTTATTGCAAATCCGGTAAGGAATTGGGAAATGCAGAGCCACTTGATGTGACTGTGCTGTTAAGAGAAACTTTTCTTGTGGACGCTGTTGATGATCAGGGGCCTGGAGACCAAACCCAAGAGGAGAGGCTGAGGGACTTAGGAATGTTCACTCTGGAGAAGAGGATGTGGGGAGGGTGTGACATGATTGCTCTCTAAGTAGTTGAAAGGCTGTGACTTAAGAGGAGGGCAGGGAGCTGTTCTTGTTGGCAGCAGACGATAGTACTTGCCGTAGTGGGTTTAAATTATGGGCGGAAAGGTACAGTAAGAGTAGCTCAGTAGTGGAATTGGTTGCCTAGAGAGGTGGTGAGCTCCTCCTCTCTGGCAGTCTTCAAGCAGCAGCTGGACGAACACTTGTCAGGGATGCTTAATGCTGATCCTGCATTGAGCAAGGGGTTGGACTAGATGTCCTGTGTGGTCCCTTCCAGTTCTATGAGACTGTTGCTTGTTTATACTCTCTCAGGTCAACTCCACCATCCCAATTACTTCAGAGGTTTTTAAGAAGCACGGAGTGTACAATCCCAACAGAATTTTTGGTGTTACAACGCTGGACATTGTCCGAGCAAATACCTTTGTGGCTGAGCTGAAGGTAAGTTAAGGATATTTGGGGCTTTTTTGTCTGCCGTTCTGTTTGCCTTTTTTGCTTCTTAGCAGTTCAGTTGCCACTTATGTTTTTAAGGATTATGAGGAAAAGATGGGCTTCCCCAGTTCCTCTTTTCTGATGGTGCACTGTCCCCATTGGAATAGGAACTTGACCTTGGCCTGTCATAAATCCAAGTGCTTGGTTAGTGTCTCTGTCCCTGCTAGGAACAGTACAGCTGTAGAAAAAACTACCTGGAGTCCAGAACACTTTTGCCACGTGCAATTTAGGCCAGATAAAATTTTAAGAGTTTTTGAAAACTGGAGCGCTTCCTTTTTTTAGAAAAACAAACTTTTTAATGTTCTCCTGGATCTGGGAGAGCCCATTTGAAAAATATGTGGGCTGTCATAGCTGTACAAATCTTTTGCAAATGTGTCTTTAGCATTAATGACTAATTGGAACCTCCATGTTCAAGGACAGTAAATCTGAGTGCTAGATACTAACTGAGGAGATCTGCTGCCTTCACATAGTACATCTCGCAGGCATGTGGTTGGCCAGTTTTGGAAACAGTGTTGAAGTAATTGTATCTGGTTTAATCAGATCCAGCATATAGGATAGGACAGGGTTATCAATTTATGCTTCCTATGAAAGTCCAAAAAAACTTCCTCTGAACATGGGGGAAGATGGTGGAAGCAGAACAGGAGTGGATTGATGCTAACAAGTTGCTATTTTAGCATCCTCTGTATGGACTTTCCAGAAACATCTGTAGCTGCGATGGTCAGTTGGTCTGATCCAGGAGAACTCTTCTTAGGCTTTCACTGTTTGCATGACTTCCTTACCTAACATGTGTTTTCTAAGACTTCACCAAGCCCCTGCTCTTGAAACCTGCTGCTATTTTTGCTTCTCAGGCGAATCTAAATTGTCTTTCAAGCCCCACCCCCAGAACAAGGATCTGTACAGTGAGCCAATTTATCCAAAGCTAACGAGTTTATTTGTCCTTTTTTTAATAGTTTGTTCTTCCAGGTTTGGCCTGGTTCTTTGTGTGTAAATATGCATCATCCACACACAAAAAGGGAGCTTGAATTAAGATGCACGACTTAAAAGGTAGAAAGGACCAAGGTGCAGGGCATGCTGACCTTAAGGGGGGAAAACTGTGCACAGTAATGTGGCTTGTGAGTTCACCTACATGTGTCTGTAAGTGCTGTTAGCTGTCTTGCAAATGCCTGAGCTTTGACCAGATACTTAAGGTGGTATTCACACAACACCTTTGTCCACCTTACACTGATATGCCTTGCAACAAGCTGGATTCATGCATGTGTCTGTTAGAAGAGTGGATAAACATGGCATCTGAATGCAGCCTGTACTCTTCTAATCCTTCGTCTAGGAGACAGAGTCAAAACACTGGCAATTCCAAGCACATCAAGCTCATTGCTGATTTTCTGGAGGAATCTAAGCCTGTAGGATGGGTAGGAAATATCCTGCCGTGACCTACCACAGCAGAGTTGGCAGCATTGCACTTAATAGTTTTGGCTCCTGCCTCATAGTTAGCAGAGGCAACCTGGACTCAAACCATCCCGGCCCCTGCAAGTGTCAGCCGCCATCAAATTACATCACTGTATGAGGAAGGGGGGTTGCAGTTTTGCAGCTGGTTGTCAGTGCCAAAAGTCTCCTGTTCTGTTCCCAAGTCCGGAGCCAAGAAAAAGCCAGGGCATCGGACCAGTTGCAAGGCTGTTCTGCTGCTTGACTGGCCAGCACATCGTGTCCTCTCTTCAGCTTGGCATAAGGTCACTGGGAGAATAAATAGAAATCCCATGATGCAGTTTGATATTCTGAGTTGGATTTCAGGTGCTCTCCAGCTCCTTTCCAGAACTCTTAGCTTGCCACGAAGGTGGAAGGAGGTGACAGTTAATTTTATTCTGCTATGGGGTGTATCCAAAGTAGCTGACAATACGAAATAGACAGTAGAAACAAGCAAGAGCAGGGCAGGGGGCTGCTGAGTGCGGAGCTGGTCTTCCACGCTTCTCTTTCTCTGCCCCAGATCCTCTTCCCAGCTCTGGGCTATGGCCCATCAGCTCATTGGAAGACTTGGTGCTCTTTGTCCACACTGTGGTCAAGTTAAGCTTGTGGTCGAAGTACTCAGCTATGTCTCCAGAAGTTATACATCTAAGTCTTGTCTATTGGCCATTTACAGTTGAAATACCTTTTAGCATCTGTTCTTCTCAAGTTGCACAGCTTGGTCTTTACTTCCCCTTACTTAGGATTAGTTGTGTAAATGACTAATGTTGGGATTCCAATGACGAGTTCTGTTGCTAGCCTCTGAGGTCCTGTATGATGGGGTTCCTTGGCAAAGGAAGGGGCCAAGTAATGGTGGATTTGGAAATAAGGAGGACAAACAATAGCGAGAAATAGCACTAGAGCTTCATCTCTGGCCACACGCCAGAATGCCTTCACTAAATGTTCACCGAGGTCCTTGGAGGAAGGACAAAAGTAGTTTTGTACCCAATTTCCCACCAACTTTTGAATTTTCCAGTCCCCATGAGAGCTAGGAACCTGACTTGTTGGATTTATTTTTTCTTAATTGAAATTCACTGGGTTTCCGGCTGGTTTGCTTTGTTAAGTCTATTGCCATAAAATAAAGCAGAAATCCAGAGGCCTCTTAAGGACTCACAACATTTATGCAGTCTGTAAAGTGCCACGGGGTTTCTGTTATACCTCATGGTGAACATCAAGATTCTAGCTAATGCAGGTTAAGGAGGGTATGCTGGACACACAGCTCAATAGGTCCTCTGCTGGTTTTGGCAGCCGATGACACATTAATTCCTGTTGTCCAGCAAGCCAGATAAGATTGTTGTGGGCGTTGACTTAAAAGCTTTCCTAAAACATGGTCTGGGTCCAGCCTACCTGAGGGACCGCCTTTCCCCGTATGTTCCCCCAAGAGCACTACGGTCTGGGGCCCAAAACTTGTTAACTATTCCGGGCCCCAGAGATGCAAAACTGGTCGCTATGAGGGCTAGGGCCTTCTCGGTGGCGGCCCCTACCTGGTGGAATGAGCTCCCGGAGGAGATCAGGGCCCTGCGGGATCTGATGCAGTTCCGCAGGGCCTGCAAGACAGAGCTCTTCCACCAGGCTTTCGAGTAGGGGCCGCCCCCCCACACTATATTGTCGTCGTGGGGGGGCGAAAGAGGCCCTAAGAAGGAACACCTGAACATCTTAACATCTGAACATTGAAGCCATTGACTGTCTACTGGGAACTCCTTGGACTTGGTCCGTTATCTTTGGGTTTTTTGAAGTTCGCAGAACACTGAGCACTTTATTTGAATTCGGACTGGTTTTTTAAACTGTATAGTATGTTTTTAATATTATAGGAATATTATGTTTTTATTGTAGCAAGATCTCTTGCCTTGTAAGCCGCCCTGAGCCCTACGGGGGAGGGCGGGGTATAAATTTGATAAATAAATAAATAAATAAAACACGACTATTCTGCAGGGTTTGGATCCGGCTCGTGTAAATGTCCCAGTGATCGGCGGTCATGCGGGCAAGACCATCATCCCGCTCATCTCTCAGGTTTGTTTTTCTGAAGCTTTGCAATGTTTTCTGGGATTGATATTTCTGGTCTTGAAAAGCCAGGTTGTTAGAAGTGAGTGGAGACAGCCAGCTAGGATAGGACTGCAAGGCCATCCCTGCTGTATGTATTCACTTCCAAGAAATCCAGAGAGATTCCTGGTAGAGACAGGCATTTGGCTCTTCTGTCTCCACAAACCTGAGACTAGACTACTATCACTTGACTTTACATGGGGCTGGGTGGAAATACTGAGATCAGTAGCTTTTGGCCAATGGGTAACAGAGCCCCCTTCTTCACATTTCTGATTTGCCAGAAATTCTACTGCATGAAATCAAAACTTTCTTCCCTCTCATCATCATGCAGCTTCACTTTCAAAGCTGGCATATTTTATGCCAGTACCTTTCTCTGCTCTCAGTCATCCAAGAGGGTGTGTTCTCCTTACCTGTCACAGGCACCACTGTTTTCCCAGGAGAGACCTCTGGCAAGTTACATGACATGCTGCCTCTTGCTCGTCCACTGTTATCATGCAGAAGGAGCAGCACATGCTGTTCATTTCTCTGGCCTTTACGAAATGCGCAGTCGACCCAGAGGCTTCTCTGTCTTTATTGTATGGTTCTCATTCCTCCAAGTTGCCGGAGGGTGGGGAGAGTGCTGTTATGGGCCAGGTATAGGAGACAGCCAGCCTACAGATAGCTTTGCCTGGAAGGGCCCAGGCTCAGGAGATGGAGATTGCTACTATATCAGGTGGGTTCTGCACCATCCTTGCAGCAGCACTCTGAGCAGTTGTGGGCAGACTTCTGCCTGTCAGAGGGCACCGAGGAGAGCAGTTTCCCCTGTTGGGAGGGAAAAGGAACTTTGGATTTCACAAAAATCCAGGTGCTATATACTGCTCTGGCCGATGTGAAGGCAGTCGGGGTAACATTCCCTTTCTTCTCTGCAGTGCACCCCCAAAGTGGAAATCTCTCAGGACCAGCTGGTGGCACTCACAGGGCGGATTCAGGAGGCAGGGACGGAAGTTGTCAAAGCAAAAGCTGGCGCAGGTTGGTTCGAGACGACAGTTCCTTGCTGGCGCTCTGTCTTGAAGTTGGGAAGCACCACTCGCTCCATCTCGTCAGATCTGCAACGCTAAGCAGGGTCAGCCTTGGCCAGTTTTTGGATGGGAGACCTCCAAGGTTGCAACGTGGAGGCAGGCAGTGGCAAACCGCCTCTGCACGTCTCTTGCTTTGAAATCCCTACGGAGTCACCATAAGTCAGCTGTGACTTGACGGCACTTTTCACCACTGCCACAGTGGTGGATTGTTAATTAAATGGTCTGACCCCAAACCCTGGGAGTAATGACATGAGTACTGCTGATAGCCAGTAACCAGGCTTTCTGCCTATTTCAGATGCTGCTTTTGTTTGGCTTAAGTCAGTGATAACTCATTCAGTGGCTCAGGATACAGATGTGGCTCTTCAGCAAGCCACGTGTGACTCTTCTGAGCACTGTCCCCCAATGTGGCACCTGCCCCATGTTTCAGGGAAGTGGGACTTGTGATTGGCAGACGGTCTCCACCTTGAAAAGGCAGCTGCTGAAGGAACAGGAAGTTGCCAGCCTGCCTGAGGTGCAGGCCCTTCTGCCGGGGATGGCAGTAAATGTTCCTTTTGGTTGATAATGGCCGGTGTGGCTCTCTGCAGTCTGCGGACAGAGTACCACAGGCTGGAGTGTAACCCAGGGCCAGTAGGCTATTGCAAGCTAAAAATTCCACAGCGCTAGAATAGTTATGTAAGTTAAATAAATGGTGCCACTGTTTGGGTTAGATCTGTGGTTTCTTCGTGCCACATAAAGCCCCAATGCGTGAGCCTGCCGTCTGAGCGTGGACTCCAGTTCATACGCAGCCACCAGGCCACAAGCTCCTGTTTTTGTCACTCTTGGCACCCTCAGTGACCACATGTGATTTAAAATTGGCATCCTTTGCAAGGCAGAAATTCTTCTTTCCATCCAGAAGCCACGCAGCGTAATCCAGAGTGAGTGAGCTGTGCCCGTGTTCTGTGGAAGCCAGCGAGACAAATCGCTTAGCAGAGAGAGAACCTTTTGATTTCCGTGAGCCTTCATCCTACCTCACTGTCTCTGGACGGCAGCCGTCCTTTTAGAAAGTATCTGGAGCCCTGTAAAAATATGGCAGTGGTACTTTGTGGGGGAGAGACAGCACAAGCTAGGCAAATGAGTAGAAATGTTTCGTATCTTCAGATCAGTTGCAACCCATATCTTGAGAAGCTGCAGTGCTGCTGTCCCAACCACTGAGGCATTCCTATTTAACTCATGGAAAATGACTTCAGAATTGGACTGTGGGGAATAGGAGCCTGAGCCAGTGTTCCTCGAGTGTTCCTTTTTCCTCAATAGGTTCTGCCACACTGTCTATGGCGTATGCCGGCGCCCGGTTCGTCTTCTCCGTCCTGGATGCCATGAACGGGAAGGAGGGGGTTATTGAATGTTCTTTTGTCCGATCGGAGGAAACGGAGTGCACGTACTTCTCCACGCCGCTGCTACTAGGGGTACGTAGGCTGACCGAGTCATTGCCTGCAGTCTCTTTAACTGCAGAACACGCAAAAGGAATAACTGGGCGATGCAAGTGTGTAGGCGTTGGAAGCCACTGGGGGTAGATTTAGCTTGTCTAGTCAACGGCAATGTGTTTTTGAAATTCATTGAAATGTTCCTGCTTGTTTCCCAGCTGATTCTTTATGTACTTTAGAGGACCTCATGGATTTGTAGTGCAAACCCCACTAGGAAGTCCTTTGAAAGAATTCTGTAATGGCTTCATTCAGGCAGTTGAAACTGCCCCCAAAGCAAAATTTGGCAACTTGCAAGCATGACTTCTGTTTCACATCAGTCTTCAGCTGTCACCATTGTGCCAACTTGCAGTTTTTGCAAGTAATGTGAAAAGGCAGGATTTGAAGCTGTCAGGGGAAGGGGGTCACAATTCAGTGGTAGAGCATCTGCTTTGCATGCAGAAAGTTCCATGTTGAATCTCTGGTTAAAAGGATCTGGTAGTTGGCAAAGTGAAAGACCTCCACTTGAAACCTTGGAGATCCATTGCCAGTCAGCATAGACAATACTAACATTGGTAGACCAGAGCTGTGACTCAAGGGTCTTAGGCAATTTCATGTGTATCCCTCCTAGACAGGACAAATCCTATAAAAGTCACAAATCTGGCTTCTGAGAGATAGCAACAGTGCTCACCCACTTTGAAAATACCTTCATAGCCATGAGGACTAGAAGCTTGTCTGTCTTTCTGAAAAAGGAAGAGTTTCCATCCAAGTCTCTAGGAGATCATGGACAATTAGCTGCAGGAGTCCTTCTAAAGCTGCAATGTCCTTAATCTGCAACTTTCTTCTCCACTCCTTCTCTTCCAGAAAAATGGCATCGAGAAGAACTTGGGTATTGGCAAGTTGTCTCCTTTTGAAGAGAAGATGGTGTCCGAGGCAATCCCAGAGCTCAAAGGCTCCATCAAGAAAGGAGAGGAGTTTGCCAAAAGCATGAAATGAAAATCACAAAGAAGAGTACCGCGGTCCCCTTAATTTATTTAAGGTGCATCATGTCACTTTAAAAGGCTTCAGGAGACAAAGCCCTTGGCTTTCTCCAAAGGCCCCTCTGTATTAAGTGTATTACTCTCCCTCTGATCTGTGAGTTCAAATTCTGTTCTACAATAAAGCAGCCTGTTATTTTTTCAGGGTATTTCCTGGACCATTTGGGGCTGTGTTTGTAGTTGTACATACTAGTTGGTAGGTGGGGTGGGTGGGTGGGTGGAGGTAGTCCCTGACACTTGCAATAGAGTATTGTCCACAACAAAGCAAACTGCCACTAAATTCCAAGTTGAGTGGAATTAAAAGGCAGGTTTAGAGGTTAATTGGCAGAGGTTGGACCCTGCAACAGAAACTTCTGTGGCTTGCTCATATATGCTTTAGAATCCCATGGGAAGGGCTTTTCCCTGGACCATATCGCTTTAGGCAATAAAGCGGGAGCTCTCCAATTCAGGTTGGAGTTGGGCTGGGCAGAAAAGCTTCAGTCAGCTATAAAGGCCTTAACAGTATTGCAACAACCAAAGAGAGTTCGATCAACAGATTTGATGCTGATAGTAAATTGCCAAGAAAGGAATGTGTAACTTTTAAATATAGTAATTGGAAAAGGTTATCCTAGGCTACCAATGACCATTTGGGCTCCTGTTTAGGGATATCTGCAAGTAGGTTAGGTGGGGGCAGTAGAAAGAGCTTTCTTTTGCTGCTGAGTTTGCTGGAGGGCTTAGGTGTGAGTGGCACTCACTTCTTCCTGAGCTGATGAATGGCACCATGATGATGTAGGTAAAGTAAGCTGCTTCCTTTGCAAAGGTGGAGAGGATGTTTGATCACTCAGTTGATGATGTGCCAACCTTAGATCTGAGCTGCACTACATATGAGGAGGTGCCTAACCCGTGTTGTCACCTGGTACACCCTGCTGAGTGACAGTTGTCTGCAGGTCACTTTGGGTACCTTTACCTATAGAAAACATCTGTTTGTAAACATGCATACAACCTAGTCACTTGTTACATCGCTGGTTACATATTTTTTTTTTTAATGTTGGGTGTCCCTAAATGTAACTGCTAACTTAATGGTGGCCTTGGGCAAGCTGCTTGCCTTTTTTTATTCCTAGTCTAAGTCTGTAATAGGAAGGCCATGGTGACCCATTAGTTTTTTACATGACAACTCTTCTGGTCTACTTTATCCTGTAGCTTCCACTGGCTACTGAAAATCCACTGCATGTTGCACACAAATGTGGCTTTTGTAGGCATGAGAACTAAAAACCCTGGTCTTCAACAAAACGGTCAGCTGAATTCCCATCTTGCAGAAGATTACGTAGTTGTGCCCCTGAGTCTCCTTCCAGCATGAAAGCAAATTTTTTCCTTTAGGCATTTCTATCCTGCTTTTCTCCACAAGGGAGCTCCAAAGAGGCCTACATCATCTCCTTTACTCCATTTTATCCTTATAAACAGGCCTGCAAGGGAAGTTAGACTGAGAGACAGTGACCAGCCCAAGCAAGCTTCCATGGTAGAGTGGGGATTTGAACCTAGTCCAGTGCTGTAACCACTGTACAGCGTGACTTCGACAAGGGCCCATCACAAAGGCAGCAAACGGTGGTCAGGGGACAGACACAGTTGGAGTTTCTGCATACCTGGTGAAAGAGTTTTATGTGTGCAGAGAAGAAATATTTTGTAATTTAAGAAAAAGGAAGCACTCCCCACAGCTTAGAGGGCTGTGCATTGCTTGTTGCTGTCACAGTGCTGAGTCTGTGAAAAGGGGTGGGGGGGTGGGCATTCTCGAGCATCTAGAATCCCAGAGAGAGAATTTGCCTGAGTGGAGAGCAGTGTTCCCTCTAAGCTGAGTTAGTGTGAGCTCACGGTTTTGTAACCTCCAGCTCACACATTTTTTGTCTCAGCTCAGGAAGGATGGCTCCAGAGCAAGCTAATGTATGCAGTAGCCAAATTGCTCGCTCACAACTTGAATGCCAGTAGCTCGCAACGTGGAATTTTTGCTCACAGGACTCCATGGCTTAGAGGGAACACTGGTGGAGAGAGTTCCCAGTCGCTTACCTTTACACTTCCCTTTTGATCTCTGCATCCACCAGTTTTGGATATTACCAAATTTTTACCCTTGTTATACCTCTGTTGTAACAATGCCTTAGAATAACACATCCCCCCTTCTCCCTGTGCCAAAGTTAAAGCCATGGGCTCATGCCTTTTATTTCTTCATAAATAAAACCACGAATGAGGCAGCGTCACTGGAGTAAGTCCTGTGTTTCCGACTCCAAACTTTACTCTGTATACACCTGAATGGTGAGTTGGAAGTTATGCAGGATGCTCTGCTCCTCACTTCCCAGTAGTGGAACTGGGAGGGGGGAATGGCAAATTAAAATTAACATCAATTGCAAATACCTCCTGTCTGAAAGGGCAAAGTGATTAGCAGAAAGGTTAAACGGAAATCAGGTAGAGCCCTTCTGGAGCTATTAATAAAGCCAGCCAAAATGAGTTCAAAGGTGGGGACAGATTAATGGCTCTTGCGTTTGAGGAGGGATTGGAGAGAGAAGGATGATCTTGTTAAGAATTTGAATTAGGAGGAGGATGCCACGTGCAGAAGACTAAGGTAGGAGGAAAGCCTGTTGCTGGGACAGAGGGCTGGATATTGTCTGCAAGGAATTACCTGGGCTGCGTTGGCTCGAGTGGTTAAGACGCTGAACTGCCGACCAGAAGGTCGGTAGTTCAGCAGTTCGAGACCCGAGTGCCGCATGACTGAGTGAGCTCCCGTCTCTAGTTCCAGCTCCTGCCAATCTAGCAGTTCGAAAGCAAGAAATTGCAAGTAGATAAATAGGTACCGCTTCAGTGGGAAGGTAACAGTGTTCTGTGCGCCTTGGCATCTAGTCATGCTGGCCACATGACCACGGAAACATCTCTGGACAGCGCTGGCTCTTTGGCTTGGAAACGGAGATGAGCACTGCATCCCTAGAGTTGGATTCGACTGGCTTTTGAACAAGGGAAACCTTTACCTTTACAAATATCGTTTAAACTGCAGTTCCGTGTGCACCTATTGCAGAAACAAAGCCTATAAAAGCCCCAGTGCATCACTACATATCTGCTTACTGGTGTTTGGTTGAGCTGATCAAAGAACAGAGCTAGCGCAGTATAGTGATTAGAATGTTAGCCTAGCCCTGGAACCTCACTGGGCAACCTTGGATCAATCACACACATTCTGCTTCACAGGGATGTGAGGATAAAAGGGAAGAATGTGGTAAGCTGCTTTGGGTCCCCGTTGGGTACACAGAGGGGGTATAAATGAAGTAAACAGTGGAAGAGTCAGAGAGTGCATGGTTTAGCTATATGTGTGTCTGTGTGCACCGTAAAATTGCAGCTCACAGGGCGACTCCATAGGGTTTTCAAAGGAAGAGACGTTCAGAGGTGGTTTTCCGTTGCATGCCTCTGCTTAGCAACCGTGGTATTCTTTACTGGTGTCCAGTCCACATACTGACTAGGACCAGCCCTGCTTAGCTTCCAAGATCTGATGAGATCAGACTAGGCGGGGCCATCCAACTCAGGGCTTAGCCATAATAGCTCGCTTAATGTTTAATATTAATTTATCCAGCTTCTCAGTCCCCCACAATGGTTCCCAGAGCAGCAAAATCTATGGCAGAGGACACCATTCCAGACAAATATTCTGTACCCGGTATACAACTGAAAGCACACCAAATTAAATTGAATAGTTTATAGGATTAGACCACAGAATTCAGCATTTCTAGGGCAGCATCCGAGTTAACTGCGTGTACACTAATGGCAGAGGACATCGTTCCAAATTTTGATTGTGCTTCAGTTCCTCTGAAGGCCAAGAGATGGCACCAGAGTTTCTCCCCCCCCCCCCAAGGCCACTAGGGAATTTATTAATAAAAATATTTCTCTTTTTCCCTTTCAGCCTGATATTCAGCAATTTACAAGTGCAATATCCGCACATAAACACTAGATTTCCCTGAAGCACAGTGTTTATACATCGAAAGCCAAAGCAGACAAACTAGAGGAAAATCAGAAATCAAAGCCCGTTATTGGCTGTTGCTTTGGTCAAAGATGTGCTGAAATAGCACCATTAATGGGACAGGAAGGAAGTGGGAAACCTCCCTAGGTGCAAGGTGTTCTCTAGGCATGATTGAGACGGTTCTCTTTTGCATCTGTGACACACAGCCCCCTTAATGGGGTCTTTCCCCCTCATCAATGATTAAAGCATGGCAGCATACAATAAGCGATCAAATTTAAGTAGCAAATTATATATACTGATGATTTTTTAAAAATATTTTTTTTTTACTGTGCTGAGGTAAATTGTGGACCGGGGGACAGCAACTTCTGATTCCTGAGGTAAAATCTTCCTCCACCTTGGTGACTCACGCAGACGTCTTTAAAAGAAAAAAAGTTTATTGTCACTTCCAAAGAAGGGTAAAAGCTTATTTTGCTTGTCAGATATAACTTAAACGTGTCCCCAGTATTGACAGCTAAGCTGGATGGCAGTTTCTTTTAGAGTGTCACAGTGTCAAAGCATGCACTTCCAGACACACACCCAAATGATGGGCTACTTTGTCCTAGTGAGAGGGAAGTTTGCTTTTAAGGCTCAATAGGAGCTGTTCCTTTTACTTGTGCTTCTAACCAATGATCCCTCTAAACTATGGAGTCCTGTGAGCAAAAATTCTACTTTGTGAGCTACTGGCATTAAAGTTGTGAGCAGGTGATTTGGCTACTGCATAAATTAGTTTCCTCTGGAACCATCCTTCCTGAGCGGAGGCAGAAATGGGTGAGCCAGAGGCTAAAAAACTGTGAGCTAGCTCACACTAACTCAGCTTAGAGGGAACACTGCTTCTAACCTTGGCTGGCCACATTTCCCTCTATGGCAGGAGCATTCTGTCTTGTCATTTATCAGCACCTCAAAGGCCGCCGGGGGAGGGGGGGGAATAGTAGCAAAATCATGGGTGTGCCGGTATCACACCAACATGCAACATCACTTCTGGCAAAAACCAGAAGTGGTGTCATAAGGGGATGGGGGTGCTCTAGGATCTGGCAAAAACTATGGTTTAATCATAGAGTTTTTTTGCTGCTCTTACAGCACGCCTCACATGATGACAGCTTTTCCGGTTATCCCTGGAAGTGATGTTGCGCGTCAGCATGATGCCAGCAT